ATTTAACTTATTTTAATAATTTATTTATATTGTTTACCTAATAGATATTCTCTGCATTACGTTTTTTTGCAAGCGGTAGTTATTAAATGGATATAGGTAACAATGTGGACATTGCCGTTAGTCAGTCTTCGATATCAAGAAGTATTCACGAAGTAATTAATGCCGCTAATCAACCTAACGTAATGAATAAGTGGATACGATTTCCTCGCACTAGAGCAGAACTTAATTATTTACGTAATGGGTAATTCACGCATGAATTACATGTTTTCATTTCTGTTTTCATTTCTTATGAATGTAATGTGTGAAATATCATATATATAAATATGTTATATACATACAAGTGAGAGAGAGACATAAATATTTTTGTATTATACATATACAGATTTTACCGGAACCACAGATTCGCAGGTGTTTATGGGTGTATTGATTGCACACATGTTGCAATATTCCCTCCCAAAATTAATGATGAGGTTTATCCGGAGCATGCATATGTTAATCGTAAAGGATACCACTCAATAAATGTTCAATTAGTAGGTATACTTTTTACAACAGTAACATATATATGTGTGTGTATAAAACTCCATTTTCGTTTTTAGATATGTGATTTTCGATTAAGAATCATAAATGTAAATGCACGATTTCCGGGAAGCTCACATGATGTATACATCTGGAATAATTCAAATGCTAGACAACTAGCGGAACAAATATATATAATTAAAAATAACTGTGAGACGACCCAACTGGCTTAAATTGATTCTTATTATTAATTTGATGTCATATACAAGAAAAGACAACGTTTCGACCTTAGGTTTAGGTCCTTATCAAGTCTAAAATTAAAAATTAAAAAATACCAATAAATGTACATACAAGAATTTCAATTTTTAAGAAAGCAAAGCGTAAACCAAGATATTGACAAAATGAATGTTTCACTGAGTGATCAATTTACTTATACTAAACTGAAAAAAGATCCTTTCAAAAAAGTATCTGGTAGAATCAATTCTTTAATCAAATCATGGCAGGATAATAAATTGATTGATGAAATGACATATAAACGTCTTAATACCACGAATGGGAATCTCCCACGGTGTTACGGTCTACCGAAAATTCACAAAATTAACGCGCCTTTACGTATAATTGTTTCGTCACTTGAGAGCCCGGTTTACAGTATAGCGCGTTTTTTACATGATATATTGGAACGATTAGTTACGAAACCTACCTCACATATTAAAGACGGTTGGACGTTCGCGAATAAAATCAAGAATTTGAGTATTGAGGATAGTGAAATGTTAATTTCTCTTGATGTCACATCTTTATTCACAAACATTCCTAAGGAATTAGTTTTAAAATCTATTGAAAAACGTTGGAGAGATATTTCATGTAACACAAATTTTAGTTTGGCACAATTTTTATATGGAATCGACGCTATATTAGAATCTACTAGTTTTCGTTTCAACGATCAATTTTATGAACAGATACATGGTACTCCAATGGGATCCCCCCTTTCACTTATTTTAGCAGACTTAGTTATGGTTGATCTTGAGACAGAGTGTTTAAGCTCTTTACAATTTGACATTTCAGTTTATTATAGGTATGATCAATTAAAATTAATAAATAATAATCCTTAAGGTTGCCAGTAATAATTAATAAAAAACCACTCCTCAATGTTTAAAGTCGACCAGACTGGCAATAATTTATTATAAATAATTATTTGAAATACAACAACAACGTTTCGGCTGTCATTGCAGCCCTTTTCAAGTACATCAAATTTAAAACAGTAAATCAACTTCTATGCAAACTACCGACAATGTTAACGCTTGTTTTGAGCGTTAATTTAAGCGTTAACATTGTCGGTAGTTTGCATAGAAGTTGATTTACTGTTTTAAATTTGATGTACTTGAAAAGGGCTGCAATGACAGCCGAAACGTTGTTGTTGTATTTCAAATAATTATTTATAATAAATTATTGCCAGTCTGGTCGACTTTAAACATTGAGGAGTGGTTTTTAATTAAAATTAATATCAATCAAAATTAATATTTGTCGCTAGTGGTGAAAATAAGCTTAAACGACTTGACTACGACGTAACTAGCAATTTTATTTGATTATTTCACGACGTTTCGACCATTTGGTTGTGGTCTTTTTCAAGTGAAATTTCATCAATTAAACCGAGGTTAACATAACATCACACCGGTGTTATTTGAAATCGAAAGTTAAACGTTAAAAGAGGAACACGTCCCATCGTTATGATGTTAAAAGTTAAAAATTAAAAGAGGAACACGTCCCATCGTTATGATGTTTCGTCAACGACTGCCGTTGACGAAACATCATAACGATGGGACGTGTTCCTCTTTTAATTTTTAACATCATAACGATGGGACGTGTTCCTCTTTTAATTTTTAACTTTTAACATCATAACGATGGGACGTGTTCCTCTTTTAACGTTTAACTTTCGATTTCAAATAACACCGGTGTGATGTTATGTTAACCTCGGTTTAATTGATGAAATTTCACGTGAAAAGGACCACAATCAAATGGTCGAAACGTCGTGAAATAATCAAATAAAATTGCTAGTTACGTCGTAGTCAAGTCGTTTAAGCTTATTATAGGTATGTTGATGATATTTTTGCAGTAGTGCCACGCAATAAAATCGATACTATTTTGACTACGTTTAATAATTACCATCACCGTTTACAATTTACGTATGAAACAGAGATAAATAACAAGATTAACTTTCTGGATACATTGGTTTTTAGAAACAATGGTAAACTATTGACTAGTTGGTACCAGAAACCCACCTTCTCTGGTAGATATTTAAACTACCATTCTAACCATCCGTTTAAATACAAAGTTAACACCATTAACAACTTAGTCGATCACGCTATTTTGTTATCGGATAAACGGTTTCATAATGAGAACTTACAGATGGTTAAAAATATCTTGTCGAATAATTGTTTCCCTAGGACGGTCATTGAGCGATATGTGTATAAAAGAACATGTTTTTTAGGAAATTCTCATAACGTAGTTGACAAAAATAATGTGTTTGATATTTCTTGTATTTTAATGCCGTTTGTTAAGAACCTAAGTGAGTCTATTGAGAAATCTATTAAGAAAACAGGCTTAAGTGTTATTTATACGATTCCAAAAAAACTAGATATTGTTATTAAACCCCGAAAAGACAAATTACCTAAAGCCGATATGACCGAGATAGTTTATAAAGTTGACTGCAACAACTGTGACGCCACATACATTGGACAAACTAAAAGACACCTTAATACTCGGATAAAAGAGCATATGAATAATATAAAAATGCATGTCAGCAACCAGAATGTTATAAGCAAACATAGAAATGATTTTTCGCATAACTTTAAATGGACAAACTTAAATATTTTACATCGAGAAACAAACACTAGGAAAAGAGAGATTGCTGAAATGTTTTTTATAAAAAAATGTAACAACACGATCAACCTACAGAAAGACACAGAGAATTTAAATCCGATTTATGATAGAATAATCAAAGCTGTTTAACTTAGTTCGCCTTTACCATCCATACTGAACGTTTTACTTGACACAATATTTATATTGAAATATGTAAAATGAAAAAACTTAATTATATATTGTATTAAAGATTTTGTAAGGTACGTTTTAATTTGTTATTACAATCTTGGTTTACGCTTTGCTTTCTTAAAAATTGAAATTCTTGTATGTACAATTATTGGTATTTTTTAATTTTTAATTTTAGACTTGATAAGGACCTAAACCTAAGGTCGAAACGTCTTGTCTTTTCTTGTATATGACATCAAATTAATAATAAGAATCAATTTAAGCCAGTTGGGTCGTCTAACAGTTATTTTTAATTTTATTCATCACTGGCGATACAAGATACCTGCTATTAAATATATATAAGATATGGGAGAAATACTTTCTGTTTGCTCAGTATGTACAATATATTTATTACAATACTTTTTATTTTGTTCATACGTGTTTTCATATGTATGCTTCAAACTCTCATATAATAATTGCTTCAATTTGCAGGTGATTCAGGATACCCTTTACGACCATGGATGCTAACACCTATTGCTAACGCACAGCCGATGACCCCAGAAGCTCGATATAATGAACGACAAATGTCGTGCCGTTCGTTGATTGAAAGGTGTAATGGCCTTTTAAAAATGAGATTTCGTTGTTGCTTAAAGCATCGAGTATTACACTATTCTCCAGTTATAGCTTCTAAAATAATCAACACCTGTGTTGTTCTCCATAATATGTGCATAGCACATAATGTACCAGATCCGTTACCGGAAGAAGGGGATGATCTATTAGATTTTGGAATGTATGTTGATGACTGCGATATTATTCCAGAAATAAGAAATGCACGTAGGGTCAATCCGGATTTAGCAGCAGGCCGATTAGTCCAAAATTAAATAATTAGAAACTATTTTACTTGAATTACACATAATATATACTCTTTGTAATTATTAGATAAATATATAAAATAAAAGACAGAAAATTCATTTCTTATAACAATCGTTTATTTATTATTAATCAACTTTAATATATATATATATATATGGTATATATATATTATTTAAAATTCGTTTGTATCACGTGTATGTATGTGTTAAGTATAATCTAAGTAACTCTCTCTCTCTCTTACATTACAACATACATTTTTTTGTTTTGGTATTTATTTAACCTAAGTATTTCTAATTTTTGGTAAATTTTCGTAATACATTTCTAGTATGCAAATATCACAATAAGAATGTGTACTTTGACAAATAAAAATACCGACTAGTGCCATAATTGCTAGTGACATAATTTTGTAAATTAAAATTAATTACGTAAATAAAAATGAAATTAATATGTCACATACATTATATGTAAAATTACGAATTACCGTCACACACATTATATATAAAATTACGAATGACCATAAAATAAAATGTAAAAAAAACATTTTCTTACAATTAGAAGTAATATAATACTCTTAAAACAAAAACCGTAGTTGAAATGTAAAACTAAAGATTATAATACTTAACATACGAGTACACAAACAATTAACATACGAGTATGATCACATCGTGTTGCAATTATTTTTTACACTTTTCTTCGCAGCTCTTGCCATGCGCTCCTGAGCTTTGGCCGTTCTTTTCTTACATAGTATAAGGTCGTCGCAGAATTTCTTCTTCATAGTATATGTCTTTTCGGCAACATCGGCTAAAATACGCGTAGAATCTCTTACTTCATTTACTTTTTGCCTTGAGGATGTCCGTTTCGACTTTGTCAACGTAGATGGATCGTAATTTTCAGTATTTTCGTTGTTATTAATATTTGATGTTTTGATGGTTGCCTCACTTGCCTCAGTTGCCTGTATAGCAGAAGTAGCTATTGAAGCTTGAATGATATTATAGTCATCATCAAGAAATTCTATATTTTCTGCTTCTACTGCCAAGTCATTCTACAGATATAAGTAGCAATTAATAATTCTAATTATTTATTAAAAAAAACAAATAGCATTGTAAAGGGATTTTAATTACAAACCTCTTCGCCCAAAGTCATATCCATACATGATTCCGAAATATCTGCATGACCCTTAGTTAATGATGCTGGAATTAAATCCACTACTTCTTGTTCATCTAATGTAAGAACTGCACTGCACTGTGCCCCACCTCCCGTTTTACGTTGTTCCATGTTTATCCCTGCTTGCTTCGTTTTACTGCGAGAACGATAATCTTGCCAACACTAGAAATAAATTGTTTTGTTATTAATTTTTGGAGATCGATCATGTATCTTTTGTCATAGGACGGATACGTGAAAAGTTATCTTTTTCTATTTAACACCAATAGAAGGAGATAACCACGTGAAACTTTTCACTTTTCACGTTTCCGCTTTACGGGAAACGTAACATGATCGTTGCTTTGGAATTAAATATTTGATAAATTAGTAAATTAATAAATATCATGTAAATATATAACGATACAGCCCGCGCCGACAATACAAAAACACCCGATAAATAGCGCGAGGAAGGACGTTCGAATAATACCTTCCCCCACGATCCATACTAATTAAAAAGATACCGAACGATCACGGCGACAAACGGAAAATCTCGAACGTACACGAACGGCCGTATAAAAAGGCCGGGAGAAATCGAAACAAGACATTCTGCTCCGTACCGTCTTAGGACGGCTACCGCACCGGAAAACGCCAAGACAAGTTAGGAAGAAGAGATCGGGGGTGCGTTCCCACTTACTAGCCGCTCCGAGCGTTTCCTCTCTGTCGGGAGCTCCCGCGGCCGATCGCCTAGTCCGAACAGCAAATCATAACAGAATCCCCACGACGCGGATACTCCGAAATAAACATCAATTTCGACGAAGGAAAACCCGAGCGTCAACTCTCTCATCCGGCCGCGCGCGCGAGAGAGAGAGAGAGAGAGAGAGAGAGAGAGAGAGAGAGAGAGAGAGAGCGGATACGCGACAATAACAACGCGGGACCACACCGCGCCCCGGACCGCGCCGCGCCGACAATCAAATATAAACACGATCGTGAGACTTTAAAGGGCCGTGCCTTTAAAGTCCCGAATTACGATCGCGACGCGAAATAATAAAGATATTATTTCTGCCGTGCATTGCATGCCACGAAAATTATAATCGGCGCATCTGTTGCAGCACCGATACACAACTCCGACGCCGACACATACCGCCAACCGGACCCGCGCCGATCAACCACACACGCATTCATTTTCGTACACAAATACACACGTCACACCGTTGTAAAATCATCCACGCCGTCACACACACAGCGATATACATATATTACGCGAACACATACACACACCCATGCTTACACACACGCATTCACACACACACTTGTAAATAGTACACACAATAAACATTTTGTTAAACCTACATCTCGTCGCACGCTTCTTGAATTTAACCCTTTCTCGAATCTTGTGATCCCGATTGAGCGATCCGGCCGCGCCAAGAAAGCGATCAGTTATAAATATAATTATGAAAAAAATATAATTATAAAAATTAGTACATAATTATTGTAATTACCTTACGCCATGATTTCCAATATTTCTCGGCATCGTTGCAAGCATTCAAAATGTCGGTCACTTCTTGCCATAACTTTGCTGCATGATCGTACGTAAAAGTTTTAGAAAACTTTCCCGATACTAATTCTGGATGAACTTTCATAAATTCGATGAGCAAACATCTTTGTTCTTCTGTTATATTACCAGTTCTTTCCTTTTTATCCATGGTGCTGTAAAAAATAAAAAAATGGTGCTGTTAAAAAATGGTTAAGAAAATAAAAATTTGCATACTGAATATGTATCTCATTATTTACAACCTCTGTACTCAATAACATTTTCCCTAAACCATGTATGTACATCAATATAGCTTAAATAAAAAATATTAATTATCTTGATTTGAAAACGCGAGATATGTTGTAATGTGACGCTTTTGAAGCGCCGTCACAAGAGCGGAAAGCCCGATCGGGTAGGACGCGGGCTTTCTGAAGCGCCCCTCATTTCGGGGAGGGTGCGATCCGTTTCTTTCATTTTTATTTTATTTTTGCGAGAATCGCAATTGCACGCAGCATCGGCCTGTCGATGCGCGTGCAGCGCGATTCATAGGGAGAGCAACGGCGACGGTCCGAGAGAGCGGCCGGAGAACATTTTGTGAAGCAAGAGGAAGAGAGACGGGAAATGCCGGAATGCCGCAGCAGAGAGAGAAAGATGGAGCGAGAGTGAGAGAGAGCACGGGACCTCGCGCAGATAAGTATCGTGTGGCCGAAATTCAATTAAATATATCTCGCGCAATATTCATGCGGTTAACATATTCTAGAATATCGAAGAGACTCCGAGTCATATCAACCCCGGGTCGATCCTGGAGAGAGACGACGGAGAGCCCGGCCAGCCTACCACCTATTCCCCCAGGAGAGATGCCAGACGGGCAAAAATCGGAGAAAAATCCTCTCGTGCAGCTTTGAAAATATCGGCGAGAAATTACCCCAGCTAGAGGGAGAGTCAGGGAGACCCTAGGACCCCCGCCATCGACCCTATCATCGATGGAATGCGCGAAAGATCGGCGCGGCACTTTAGGTACCAAGGCGCGCGAGGCCCGGCTCTTCACTGTTCGGTGTGCCACAAGCCAGAGAGGGTGCCTCCAGGTCTGCAGTTGTGCGACCAGAGGACCAATTCTTCACCGTCAAATACTGTGAGCTGCCTCTCGGGTAGCCGTACGTAATTGTTGGTTGGTGCCGTGGGTGGCGAGAACGTAGAGTAATTACCGTGAGTACCGTGTCCTCTCGTTATCGTATCGTTTTGTGTTAGAGAGAGAGCGGTCTCTTTCTCTAAGTATCGTACCGCGGGGCCAGCCGACTTCGAGTTTCGCGAGCCGAGCCCTCTCCAAAAAAGTGCCGCCGACAGTCAATCGTTCCGAGAGCGAGAATCGTAAATTCTTGTGTGCCGATATATTTAAAGCACGGTCGTATACACAGGTCTGGAAACTCTCATGGTGAGGGTAAGGCTCTTAATAAATGTCAAAAGTTTCTTGAGTTAACCGCTAGCCGTATGGCACTGTGATTGCATAGTAAGAGTTCTTTTTTTTTTAAATGACTATATCATAACTCATATGTCATATATATCATATGTCATATCTGTTTAATTAAAATTTCATTAAAATGCCGTCGGAATGTGTTGTGCCGAATTGTACAACAAATAAAACCACAAAACTTTAAAAATACTTTAAGAATATCAATAAAAATATCAATAAAATTTCTTATGCATATACTTATATGCATCTGTTAATTTGTACAGATATAAGCTCTTTACTCAGCGATCACAGCGCTCTGCGGTTAGCGACCGATTTATGAACCACAAATCATGACATTAAGAGCCTTACCCCCACCATGAGAGTTTCCAGACCTGTGTATACGACTGTGGGTGCGTTCCGTTATGCACTGCAAGTACTGACAGTACTACCAATAGCGTTCCGATATAGATAGCAGTGCACTGCGAAAGTACTATCATGAGTATATGACGTCATTAATTTTGACGTTATTTCCTGTTGCGGTTACTGCAACCGGCGAGGTAAAGCACTCGCAGTAATCAAGATGGCTACCTCCATGTGTACGGTGGAACTAACCGTAATAGATGCTGAAACTAACGAAACTTATAACGTTGTAGTGAATGAAGCAGACGCAGAACTCGCCAAAAATGGTAATTTTGCATTTCTATATTTAAATTTTTTATGTATAATAATTGTTTGTACTGTATGTCCTTATAGTAAGTACGTATAATTATTACAAGATAATCATTAAATTCGTGAATTTCACTTTGCATTGTACTTTAATTTCCTTGAAATTTTAATTTACTAAATTAAATTTATATATTTTTAACATAGTTTTTTTTCTTAAATTAGATATTGTAATATAATTCATAAATTTATAAAATCTTTTATGCTTTATCTTAATATTTATGTCATAGATACAATGTTTGCAACTACGTTGTTGGAGAATGCAAAACAATGCCAACAAATTTATAACGTACCTGATGATAATAATAAGGAAAATAAGAAATCTAGTCAAGGTATGTTCCAAATAGCATTTATTTGAGATAATTATATACTAGGATCTAGTGTTGTTTTGTTTCTCGTTGGTAAAACCTTGTATAGAAGGTTCGCACGCCAAGGCGGTAGTTTTCGTTAATGGTCACTCGCGGATTCGTTTTAATATACTTTTATTCAAATCACAAATTATAATAAGAGTGTTAGAAACGAGGCGGACGATTAACAAAAGGTGTATCGATCTATCTCGTCTCGTGGCTGGACGCTCAATAATGATCCGAGACACGTAGCCAAGGCGCGAAGCGAGAATTTTGGGGATTTGCGCAGGCGATTCGCGTCGAGCAAAGGAAAAGACAGGCGAGTAACACGTGGATCACATGTGTTTTTGACGTGTTGTCCCGCGTTGGCGCGAATAATTACTGAGATGTCGAACGATAATATAAACGGAGAATTGAACGACCTATACTTTAGGATTAGGCTTATTCCTGAACATACCGCCCGCCTCGAATGTAGGCATTCGAAAAAGTACAAATGGTTTAACAATAATAAAAGACATAATGGAATAAACGCTGTACAAAGAATATCAGTATCTCGTAGATACTTCAATAACAAAGAACGGGGTGTTAGCGCATATTAAGACGAGATTCCGCCCGCCATAACGGAATCTTTTACTTCTTCGGTATTAATCGCAACAGGCAAGAAGCATAGTTTCACGATCGGTCGTTTATATTCAGAACGGGAGGTTTTGACCGTGACAACGCGCGTCAGGCCATCTTCTCCTGGATGACAGGCGACAATTCGTCCAAGGTCCCAATGGCTGGGCGGAGCCAAGGGATTACGCACTAGGACTATTTGGCCAACTTTGGCAAGTCGCTGGATAACGCGCCATTTTGGGCGTTGTTGAAGAGAATGCAAGTAATCGCTTGACCAGGACCGCCAAAACTCTTCCGTCAGACGTTGAATCATTTGCCAACGCGACAATCGATTCTCGTTAAATTCAAGCACGCTTGGTTCGGCGGGAGCGAGAAGAGAGGTACCGATCAAGAAATGACCAGGCGTTAACGCGTGATAATCGTCAGGATTATCGGAGACGGGAGCGATCGGACGAGAGTTTAAGCAAGCTTCAATGCGACAAAGAAACGTGGTCATTTCTTCAAAAGTTAATGTATGGAGGCCGATGCAACGCTTTATGTGGTATTTGACGCTCTTGACCCCGGCTTCCCACAGTCCGCCGAAATGTGGTGCGGCCGGGGGTAGGAACTGCCACGCAGTTCCATCGCTAGCGAGACGATTACGAAAGCTTGGATCGCGAATTGCTTTCGCGTGAGCTTCGGATAATTCTCGATTAGCGCCATGAAAGGTTGTACCGTTGTCTGAGTACATGGACTGCGGTAGTCCTCGGCGGGAGACAAATCGCTGGTACGCTGCAATAAAGGTCGGCGAGCTGTAATCGGAAACAAGTTCTAAATGCATAGCCTTGGTCGTTAAACATATGAACAGCGCAATGTAAGCCTTTTGCGATTTGTGTCCTCGGCCGGGCGCGGTTCGGACAGTGATTGGTCCAGCGTAATCAACGCCAGTATGTATAAATGCGCGAGCGGCACGGTTAACTCTCGCCTCCGGTAGATCGCCCATGAGTTCGACAGGTTTTTTAGCGCGCTCACGAGTGCATTGTACGCACTGATACAGAACAGCACGAACGGTAGCGCGAGATCGGAGGATCCAAAATTCATTACGTAATGAAGCGAGTGTTAATTGGGGACCAGCATGTAACGTTCTGAGATGATGATGCTGAATAATAAGAACTAGCAATGGATGTGCTCGTAATACGAGCGGATTCTTCGTCGTTTCTGAAAGGCAAGCATGACGGAGCCGTCCTCTGATGCGAAGAAGTCCGTCAGCGTCTAAATAAGGATTGAGTGTGGATAAGGAACTAGTTTTTTGTAACGGAAGTTGCCGTTGTAAAGTCGAGATTTCAACGGAAAACATCTCGGATTGCATAACTCGGAGCCAGTAATGTTTGGCTTTCTGGATCTCTTCGGGATGGAGGATCGCTTGTGAAGACGATGCGCTTTTAGAGGATCGGAGTCGATAAAGAAAACGGTAAAGATAAGCGGTAATTCGGAGCAATCGAGGCCACGAAGAATAACGTGATGCGAGATCCCAACTAGGGGTTACATGTAAAGAATGAATAGGTGGTTGAGAACGCTGTTCAAGGGCGGTCTCGGCTGGTATCGAGAGCTCGCAAGTCGGCCAGGATTCTGGAGATTGGCAAAGCCATGAAGGACCTGACCACCATAAATTATAATTTGCGAGAGCATGGGGAGCTAGACCGCGAGAAGCACAATCGGCAGGATTGTCCTGCGTTGGAACATGACGCCAAGAAACTTCAGGCAGCAAGGACTGAATGATCGAAACGCGATTGGCAACGAAAGTTTTCCATCGAGATGGAGACTGACTTAGCCAAGCGAGTGTGATGGTTGAGTCGGTCCAACAGTGACATTCGATACTCGGAAGTTGAAGAGCGGACCGCACATAATTAACTAACCGAGCGAGAAGGAGCGCCGCCGACAATTCCAATCGGGGAACGCTTATCGTCTTGAGGGGAGCCACTTTCGATTTTGCGATGAGAAGAGAGATGTTAATTGAGCCGTCGACATTAACAACGCGAAGGTAAACAACGGCTGCGAAAGCCATAGTTGAGGCATCGGAAAAGCCATGGAGTGCGCTGTGCAGAGTATGAGATCCGTGCGTCGTCCAACGCGGAATACTGAGCGTCTCGAGATGCGGTAGTTGGTGATGATAAGTTGCCCAGTGGTCGAAATGTTCACCCGGAATGTCGTCGTCCCACTGACATTGGATCGACCACAATCGTTGCATAAAGATCTTTGCACCGATGATGACGGGAGCGGCCCATCCCATCGGATCGAAAAACCCAGCGATTGTCGAGAGAATAGCTCTTTTCGTTTTTCCCGGCGAAGACGGGAGAGATACGCGAAGTTGAAACGCATCGAGCTTTGGATTCCAACTAACTCCTAACACTTTAAGGTGTTCATCGTCTTGGAGGACTTTGTGAGTGGCTAGTCCATGATCGGCAGGATCGAGGTCTGACAAAAGATCTGGAGAATTACTTGCCCACTTTCGTAGGCGAAAGCCTCCTTTAGCGAGAAGCGCGATTAATTGGTCTCGTGTTTGCCGTGCAAGGATATGATCGTCGGCTCCGAACGCGCAATCATCAACGTATGTTTGATGACGTAGAACAGGGACGGCCAACGGAAATTGAGCACCGTCATCTTCAGCGAGTTGGTCTAGCACTCGAAGAGCGAGATACGGAGCGGCGGCAGTGCCGTACGTCACGGTAAGAAGACGGTAGTCGCGAACAGGTTCGCTGGGAGAAGAGCGCCATAGAATGCGCTGGTAATCAGTATCGCGGAAGTCAACTAAAATTTGACGATACATTTTGGCGATATCGGCGGTAAATACGTAACGATATTGGCGCCACTGCATTATGACAGCGGCCAAATCCTTTTGAAGTTTAGGTCCGATAAACATATTATCGTTTAACGAGGTTCCGTTAGTGGTACGGCAGGATGCATTAAAAACAACCCGCAGTCGAGTAGTTGCACTACTGTCACGTAAGACAGCATGATGCGGTATGTAATAACTTTGATCCGGTTGGACAATTTCTGTCGGTGGAATTTTGATCATATGACCAAGGTTTTCGTATTCCTTGAGAAAGTCGTGGTATTCTGAAGCGATAGATGGATTGCGTTTGAAACGTCGCTCTAAGCGATAGAGGCTCGATTCGGCAATGAAGCGAGATTCTCCTAACGAGAGTGGTGGTCCGGTTTTAAACGGTAATCTAACAATATAGCGTCCTTGAGGAGTGCGGGAATGGGTAGCGAGAAAGTGCTCTTCACACTTGCGCTCGTCAGGGCTATGATGTTGGGTCTGAGGGACCTCTTCAGTCTCCCAGAAACGACGAAGGTCGAAATCTAACGCTTCAAGGACGACTCCGTGATGCGCGGTCTCAAAAATCGAAAGATTGGTCGGGGACGAAGCGATTGGCCCGGACAAAATCCAACCGAGAGTAGTATTTTGCGCGGTGGGCTCCGTTTCGGAACCTTGTCGAACACCATCGAGTACGAGCATGCCGTATAAATCCGCTCCGATTATCATATCAATCGGGTCGGTACTCATGGGGTCACTATCCGCTAATTGGAGTCCGTCGACATGGTTCCACGTACCCGTCGTGCTTATTCGATTCGGTACATATTTTGTCAACGATCGAAGAATGAGTGCGGTCGTTGAATAAGCGGGTTCGTCGCGATTCGCCGGCGTAATTGTAAGATGAGCGGCGTGACGGACAACGGATTGCATCTCGCTGATGCCGGTGACGAACATTGAACGATTTATTTTAGAGAGTCGTAAACGTTGCGCGAGCGATTCGGTAATAAACGTAGAAACGGAACCTTGATCCAGAAGTGCGCGTGCAGTTATAAAACGTCCAACAGGCGAATAGACTCTCACCCGGGCAGTCGCAAGCAAAATATTAGAATTAGGCGCGACGGTTTTCGATAGTAAATGCGACATGACTTCGTTTACATTTGCGCTTGTTGCTGGCGGTGACTCCGTTTGCACCGGCGGAGTCGAGTTATCGAAATGTAATAACGTGTGATGACGTTTATTACACTGGCGGCATACGCGCGAATTCGAACAATCTTTGACGGAATGCTTACTACTAAAACAGTTTAAACATCGTTTTCGCTGCTTAATAAAATCGAAACGTTGAGAGGGTGTTTGCTTTAAAAATGTCGAACATTGGTATAATAAGTGATTGGCCTTGCACAACGGACATGCGAACGAAACGGTGGACGCGGTATGCGACACAAGAATTTTTCCTTTAGAGGTAGAGGATGGTTTTTCTTTAGAAAGTGGTACGATCGCCTCGAGAGCGCGAATTCGAGACTCAAGAAATTGATCGAGCTCATTATAACGCGGATATTCCACCGTATCGCCGAGCTTGAGTTCCCAAGCTTTACGCGAGTATTTATCGAGTTTTTGTGCGACGAGCAAAACAAGCAAATCATCCCAATGTTCGACAGGACGGTTGAGATTTCTAAGCGCTTGGATTGCTTTGTTTGTTTGGTCGCGAAGCTGACGAAGGTCATGAGCGGTTTCTGTGGTCAGTAACGGCAAATTTAACAGCGATTGTAAATGCGTTGTAACAAGACGACGTTTGTTGTCGTACCGAGAGACTAGAATTCTCCACGCGACGTCGAAATTATTATTGGTTACCGCGAGGTGGTCAAGCGCGTTACTTGCATCCCCTTTTACACATGAGCACAAATAATGTAAGCGATCGACATTTGATAAACTATGATCATTATGAATCATCGATTGGAATTTATCGCGAAAGCTTTCCCACTTGTCGATGCTCCCGTCGAAGGTCGGTAGGTTGATCCTCGGAAGATGCGACGCGGGTCGGAAAACATCATGCAAGCCACTTACGTTTTGTGATGATGTAGCGGGAGGGATGCGGGATTCGTAGCTCTCTAATACCTCAGCCATGTAGTCGGCAGCCTCGTTGTAGCAGTCCTCACATTCCAGAAACGAATTCTTTGTGAAGTAGGTATGCGATGCTTTGTCGTCATCGTCCGCATGAAGCCCGATTCGACTGTCGAGCTCCTGGCAAGTGGCAAAGGCTTCCTTCAAGGTGACGAGACGTTGACGTGTCACCGCAGGTGTCATTTTGGCTTGCCCCAGCTTCTTGTAATTGATGAGCGCCCGTGATACGAAACTCATCTTCTGTGTTTGCAGAGCCAAAAGCTCTTCGAAAGATGTCGAGGTGTTCATATCGACGATCGTGATTCGGAATGCCAATAATTGTCCTTGGCGACGATCCGGCTCGAAGGACCAAAATGTTTTGTTTCTCGTTGGTAAAACCTTGTATAGAAGGTTCGCACGCCAAGGCGGTAGTTTTCGTTAATGGTCACTCGCGGATTCGTTTTAATATACTTTTATTCAAATCACAAATTATAATAAGAGTGTTAGAAACGAGGCGGACGATATTTCAACAAAAGGTGTATCGATCTATCTCGTCTCGTGGCTGGACGCTCAATAATGATCCGAGACACGTAGCCAAGGCGCGAAGCGAGAATTTTGGGGATTTGCGCAGGCGATTCGCGTCGAGCAAAGGAAAAGACAGGCGAGTAACACGTGGATCACATGTGTTTTTGACGTGTTGTCCCGCGTTGGCGCGAATAATTACTGAGATGTCGAACGATAATATAAACGGAGAATTGAACGACCTATACTTTAGGATTAGGCTTATTCCTGAACAAGTGTAAAATATCAGTAATGTTTTCTGTAATATTCAGAACAGCATAATTGGACGAAGCAAGAGACAATGCTATTGTTAGATATATATACATCTAAAGAGAAAGACTTTCACAGTGGTAAAAATACAGTAAAGCATTGTTGGGAGTCAGTTGCTAATGAAATGCAGAAAATGGGACATGATATTAGTGGACAGAAATGTTGTATAAAATTTCAAGCAATGAAAAGGACTTACAAATCCATAAAAGATCATAACAAGAAATCAGGAAATAATACAAAAAAATGGGAATATTTTAAGGTAACTTTTTTAACTCTTATCTTGCATAATTTTATATCAAACAAAGATCTTATCTATATTTATATATATATACATATATATATATATATATATATATATAGATTTTTGTATAAATGATTTGTATATATATTTCAGCTTATGGATAAAATATTTAGTGAAAAACCATGGTGTTCGAAATGCATACTAAAATTATGTGATATCATACGCGTAAGGAAATATCATATTTGTCGCGTACGCGAGGTGGGTTTCCCCTTTTTCTTTTTCGCGTTGACCGCGGACGCCGGTATCGCTCAGAGAGAGCGCGAAGGAAAGAGCAGCTGACAAGAGAACTCTCGAGAGATAACTCCGAATGCAGTATCACAAATTAGTTTATTTTTCGAGTACACGTTCAGTCTTAGAAGTTATGTCCGAATTATTCAACCGATCTATAGTCGTTCTGATTTTCGGTGTCGCTGACTTGACAATTTTTCGAAGAGTAAACGCTCAGAGTCGGGGCGTTCTTCGCCGAGGCGCGAGATTTCGACACGACATCTTGGAGGGGACGCTCGTTTTTTGCGAAGAATCACGATTGGCCGGTATTGATTTCCGACCGAGTGAAGGGACCGAAATCACGCGGTCAACGGCTGATTTCTCATATCGATCAATATTGATAACTGTTGTCCTTGCCTCGCTGGCGGGGAATAACAAGTTTGTTTTGAAAAAGCGGGTTCTTACCTCTAACGTTTATTTGTACTTACAATTAATTTGACACGAAATTACCATTCAAATTATTTGTCTGTTTCTCAACATACCGCCCACCTCGAAACAATAGTTTCGAAAGAAAACAAAAGATGCGAGTGACTCAGAAAAGGTTTCGAGTAGAATTGAGCGAGGCGTTCGGCATGTCGAGGCGAGACTTGACATCACTTGTCGGCGCTTTCCGACTTCTCAATATCGATCGGTAGAAGGCACAGTCTACCGATCGGACGCTTGTACTCGGACGACGCCGTTTTTACCGTAACAACGCGAACCAATTCGTCGAGACCCGGGTGACACAAAACAACGCGGCCGAGCTCCCACTTGCACGGTGGAAGCAGTGGATTGCGAAGCAAAACCAACTGTCCCACCCAAATATTTGGCTTCTCAATATGTCGCCATTTTCCCCGCTGTTGCAGCATGTTAATATAATCGCTCTGCCACAACTTCCAAAAACGCTCGGTGAGCTGCCGAACCAACTGCCATCGAGATAGGCGATTTTCTTTTACCTGTAACAGGGAAGGCTCTGGACTCGAGTTAAGAGCAGCACCAATGAGAAAATGCCCGGGGGTCAGCGGATCGTATGTATCTATGGAGTCGGAGAGCGGTGCTATGGGCCTAGAGTTGAGGCATGCCTCGACGTTACAAAGAAGCGTGGAGAACTCTTCAAACGTCAGCGTGTGCGCTCCAACCACCCGGCGAATGTGGTGCTTCACGCTTCGAACACCGGCCTCCCATAGGCCGCCAAAATGAGGGGCGGAAGGAGGCAGAAAATGCCACTCGACATTGTCCGAAGCAGTCCTATTCAAAAAAACGGGATCGCGAAGAGCCGCTCTAAACGCGACTGTGAGTTCGCGGTCCGCTCCGACGAAGGTGGTCCCGTTATCGGAGTACACCGCCGTCGGAAGACCCCGTCGAGCCACAAATCGCGAATAGGCCCCCAAAAATGCCGGAGTGGCGTACCCCTCGACCAACTCCAAGTGTACCGCGCGCGTTGCCATACACACGAATATGGCGATGTAGGCCTTTCGGGAGGCCACTCCGCGCCCAGACATCGCTCGAACTAGTATCGGGCCAGCATAATCTACTCCGCAGTGAATGAATGCGCGCGCGGGAGGAGAGACTCTGAATTGCGGGAGGTTCCGCATAAGCTGTGTCGGGACGGCAGCTCGCTCGCGAGTGCACGCGACACACCGATGGATGACCGATCTGACCGCACCGCGAGCTCGGATAACCCAGTACCTTCGCCGCAGCGTTGCCAGAGTAAGCTGGATGCCGGCATAGAGATATCGCCTGTGAATATCCTGTATGAGGAGCTGGACGAGAGGATGGGGCGCGAGAACGATCGGATGTTTGACGTGAGCCGGGATGGGCGCCCGCGACAACCGCCCACCAACACGAATTATTTGATCTTCGTCCAAATACGGCGCGAGAGGCAACAGTACGCTTTTCGATGAGAGCGCGTCTCCCCTTCGAAGCGCGGTCAGCTCGCGCGCGAATAGCTCCGCTTGAATGGTTTTTACCCAAAAGTTCGTCGCGCGTTGAATTTCGTGACCCGTCAAGGATGAGGGACTCTCGACGCGCTCAGCCGGCAACGTAATACGTCCGCGAGTACGCGAGATAAATCGCATAACGTAGGCGGTGATGCGCATTAACTTCGGCCACGACGAGTGGCGCGCGGCGAGATCCCACACGACAGTGTCTCTCGACATCGCGACGAGAACCTGCGTCTTTACATTTTGTTCCATTGAGGTCTGAGGGTGAGGGTCGACAGGTACCGGCCAGTCGGAGATCGGAAGCTTAAGCCACAATGGACCATGCCACCACAACGGATGGGATGCGAGCTGATGCCCGGAAATTCCGCGAGACGCGCAGTCGGCGGGGTTGTCAATGGTGGGCACGTGTCGCCACGAAGCGGAGGGAAGTCGGGTCTGGATTTCCGCGACGCGATTTGCCACGAACGTTCGCCACCGTGACGGATGCTGCGTAACCCACGCAAGGACGACCGTGGAGTCCGTCCAGCAGTAGCACGGAACCTCGGAAAGGTGGAGGGACGTGATCACGAACTCCATTAATCTGGAGAGCAGCACCGCTGCTGCGAGCTCCAATCGCGGAATGCTCAATGATTTAACGGGCGCGACCCTAGACTTTCCGACGAGGAGCATCGAGGAGACCTCTCCGGAGATCGAGAGAAGCCTCAGATAAACCACGGCTGCATACGCATGAGAGGACGCGTCCGCGAACCCGTGCAGCTCGCAGGCCGTCGTATCCGATCCGCGTCGAACCCATCGATCGAGTTGAAGGCCATCAAGTGACAGGAGTGACGCCCGAAGAGCTTCCCACTCATCAGCGAGATCGGGGGGAAATTGGTCATCCCAGTCGAGCTGTGATTGCCACAGTCGCTGAAGAAAGATTTTTGCCGTTATGGTGACCGGAGCACTCCACCCCAACGGATCAAATATTCGCGCGATATTCGAGAGAATCGATCTTTTCGTTATCGAGACAGAGGGAGGGCAGGAAATGCGGAACCGAAACACGTCCTTAGCGGGGTGCCAGCATATCCCGAGGACTTTAACCTTTTCGCCTGGTTGAAGGTCCTTGCTGCATGCCAAACCGTGATCCCTGTCATCAATGTCGCTCAAAAGAGCCGACGAGTTACTGGACCACTTACGCAAATTGAATTGGCCGCAGCACAGCAGTGAGCATACTTGCTCGCGCGCCTGCTGAAGCAGAGGGATATCGTCGGCGCCGAACAAGACGTCGTCAACATAAATGTTATCCGTCAGGACGGACACGGCTAACGGATAGGAATGCCCTTCATCGCGGACCAGTTGGCGCAGGACTCGTAACGCCAAAAACGGCGCCGACGCCATGCCGTACGTCACGGTCAAGAGCTTATATTCTTGCACGCGCTCCGTCTCGGTATCCACCCATAATATGCGTTGATAATTTGTGTCACGCAGATCAACGACGATCTGCCTATACATTTTCTCGACATCGGCCGAGTATACGTAGCGAAACTGTCGCCATCGCATCACGACCGCCGCCAAGTCCGTTTGTAGTTTCGGTCCTGGAAGCAAATTATCATTAAGCGATTTCCCGCTAGACGTTAGACTCGACGCATTGAACACCACGCGCAAGTGTGTGGTCGCACTACCGTCGCGAAAGACGGGATGGTGAGGAATATACACGCACTGAGAGGATTCTGAGAGAGGTGAGGCTCTGCGCATGTGTCCCAGAGCTTCGTATTCCCGCATGAAATTGAAATATTGTTGTTTTAGCTCGGCGTTAATTTCAAAGCGTCGAAGTAAGCTTTTTAGACATCGCTCAGCGGTATCGCGAGAACGACCGATATTAATGGGAGGATCACGTTTGAATGGAAGGCGCACAATGTATCGGCCGTGGGAAAAACGCGAATGAGTGGTCATGAAGTAATCCTCGCATCGTTGTTCCTCCGGGCCGAGTACAGTCTGTCGCGGAACTTCCTCGATCTCCCAAAATCTTCTCAGTTCGCGATCGAGCGCAAGCGACGTTGAGGCCGAACAATGTTGAACAGTGATTGTTCGGCGGGATTGAAGTGAAACACTCGTAGGACCGGATACTGCCCATCCGAAAATAGTATTTAATGCATAGGGCTGCCCGCGAGGTCCCTTCCGCATTTCGCCAAGGAATATCTCGCCATAGATATCGGCGCCGATGAGGAGCTCAATGGGATCAGAACCATTGAAGTGAGGATCTGCTAGGGCGAGATCCGCGAGATGATCCCAGTTGCACCTGGCTCGATCGAGCCCCGAATTGTAATCAGCGAGTGAAGGCAAAATCGACGCAGTGATTGTGAGACTCGGCTCTGATTTATTTTGCGGCGAGATCGTAATTTGAGCTGCAAACTTGCAGTTACCCGCTTTAAGACCGCAGATGGCAGAGAGTGAAAACTGATCTTGGAAACGACGCAGTCTTAAGGTTTGTGCAAGCCGAGCGGACATGAAGGTTATCTCCGATCCCGGATCGAGCAACGCTCGCACGTTCGCGTCGCGACCCGCCGGTGAACGAACCGTGACTCGCGCCGTCGCAAGGAGTACCGGAGTTCGATGCGATAATTCTTGCGAAGCAAACAACGCTACCGCGCCGCGATTACCTCTCGCTTCGACCGGCGAAGTCGATTCAGCAGTGATCACCGAGGCGGTAACGCATGAGCCTGAATCAACATGGAGCATCGAATGATGCCTTTTCTGGCATCGGCGACAAGTGTATTGGCTAGGGTATGAATACAAGGCGTGTTTCGCACTGAGACAATTAATGCACCTTTGGTGCTGTTTGATGAACTCCATGCGTTGACTCGGACCTTTCTTAACAAATTGCGGACACTTACTCAAGTAATGACTCGCCTTACAAATCGGACACGAGACTGGAGACGTGGTGGCGGCGTTCACGGAGGCGGATCTTGACGGACGCGTGGGCTTAGCCGCGTTATGAGGCGTGAGTTCTTCCAAGGCTCGCACGCGCGCGGAGATAAATCTATCTAAGTCCTCGAATGTTGGAATCGCGGCATCATCGCCTCCTTTCAGTCGCCACGCCTTGTGCGTGGCGTGATCAAGTCGCTGAGTGACAAGATGAACTAGGACATCACTCAAAATTTCGTCTGACGACCGGTGGAGATTTCTGAGCGACGCGATAGCTCGATTGGCTTTATCCTGTAGTTCGCTAAGCTCGACGGCCGATTCGCGTGTGACGGCCGGCAGGTTGCATAGCGCGGAGACATGCACGCCGACCAGTTGCCGTTTGTTATCGTAGCGCGAGACTAGCAATCGCCAAGCGACTTCAAAATTGTCGGCGGTGACTGGGACAGTTCGTATCAATTCCAGAGCACGCCCGGAGAGACTAGACGCTAAGTAATGCATGCGGGAAAATGCAGTTAACTCTGTATTTTTAATTATGAGCGACGTGAATCGATCGCGAAAACTCTCCCAGTCCTCATGGGTTCCCGAGAACGGGGGTATATTGATAGACGGTAGGTGCGACAAGGAGAGTAACGCGGAGGGATTACCGAACGCCGGTGGACTTGCCAATGGAGTTGAGTTGAGAGGAGGCTCTAATTCTTCGAGGCATTCCGTCATGTAGTCCGCCGTCCTCTGGAAGATCTCCTCGTGTTCCTCGAACTCCGCATTGTCGAAGTAGCCGACGTCCTTCCGTTTGGCCCCTGGGAAGACATGGATCAGCGCAGCGTGAGAGGCCGTGCACAGCGCCCAAGCTTCTTTCAGGCCCGTCAGTCGCGATCGAATTAGCGCTGGCGTATAATTGTTCTTTCCGAGTTTTTTGAAATTCGGAAGAGCTCGCGCCACCGAGTGCAGTTGTGACTGCTGCTTGGTAAGCAACTGCTCACTCATGATGTTGTCAGATCTCCGTCACAGTGGTCACTTCCAAGGTCGTTGAGCTTCCACAATTCCTTCGATCCGGCTCGAAGGACCAACAATGTCGCGTACGCGAGGTGGGTTTCCCCTTTTTCTTTTTCGCGTTGACCGCGGACGCCGGTATCGCTCAGAGAGAGCGCGAAGGAAAGAGCAGCTGACAAGAGAACTCTCGAGAGATAACTCCGAATGCAGTATCACAAATTAGTTTATTTTTCGAGTACACGTTCAGTCTTAGAAGTTATGTCCGAATTATTCAACCGATCTATAGTCGTTCTGATTTTCGGTGTCGCTGACTTGACAATTTTTCGAAGAGTAAACGCTCAGAGTCGGGGCGTTCTTCGCCGAGGCGCGAGATTTCGACACGACCTCTTGGAGGGGACGCTCGTTTTTTGCGAAGAATCACGATTGGCCGGTATTGATTTCCGACCGAGTGAAGGGACCGAAATCACGCGGTCAACGGCTGATTTCTCATATCGATCAATATTGATAACTGTTGTCCTTGCCTCGCTGGCGGGGAATAACAAGTTTGTTTTGAAAAAGCGGGTTCTTACCTCTAACGTTTATTTGTACTTACAATTAATTTGACACGAAATTACCATTCAAATTATTTGTCTGTTTCTCAACATACCGCCCACCTCGAAACAATAGTTTCGAAAGAAAACAAAAGATGCGAGTGACTCAGAAAAGGTTTCGAGTAGAATTGAGCGAGGCGTTCGGCATGTCGAGGCGAGACTTGACATCACTTGTCGGCGCTTTCCGACTTCTCAATATCGATCGGCAGAAGGCACAGTCTACCGATCGGACGCTTGTACTCGGACGACGCCGTTTTTACCGTAACAACGCGAACCAATTCGTCGAGACCCGGGTGACACAAAACAACGCGGCCGAGCTCCCACTTGCACGGTGGAAGCAGTGGATTGCGAAGCAAAACCAACTGTCCCACCCAAATATTTGGCTTCTCAATATGTCGCCATTTTCCCCGCTGTTGCAGCATGTTAATATAATCGCTCTGCCACAACTTCCAAAAACGCTCGGTGAGCTGCCGAACCAACTGCCATCGAGATAGGCGATTTTCTTTTACCTGTAACAGGGAAGGCTCTGGACTCGAGTTAAGAGCAGCACCAATGAGAAAATGCCCGGGGGTCAGCGGATCGTATGTATCTATGGAGTCGGAGAGCGGTGCTATGGGCCTAGAGTTGAGGCATGCCTCGACGTTACAAAGAAGCGTGGAGAACTCTTCAAACGTCAGCGTGTGCGCTCCAACCACCCGGCGAATGTGGTGCTTCACGCTTCGAACACCGGCCTCCCATAGGCCGCCAAAATGAGGGGCGGAAGGAGGCAGAAAATGCCACTCGACATTGTCCGAAGCAGTCCTATTCAAAAAAACGGGATCGCGAAGAGCCGCTCTAAACGCGACTGTGAGTTCGCGGTCCGCTCCGACGAAGGTGGTCCCGTTATCGGAGTACACCGCCGTCGGAAGACCCCGTCGAGCCACAAATCGCGAATAGGCCCCCAAAAATGCCGGAGTGGCGTACCCCTCGACCAACTCCAAGTGTACCGCGCGCGTTGCCATACACACGAATATGGCGATGTAGGCCTTTCGGGAGGCCACTCCGCGCCCAGACATCGCTCGAACTAGTATCGGGCCAGCATAATCTACTCCGCAGTGAATGAATGCGCGCGCGGGAGGAGAGACTCTGAATTGCGGGAGGTTCCGCATAAGCTGTGTTGGGACGGCAGCTCGCTCGCGAGTGCACGCGACACACCGATGGATGACCGATCTGACCGCACCGCGAGCTCGGATAACCCAGTACCTTCGCCGCAGCGTTGCCAGAGTAAGCTGGATGCCGGCATAGAGATATCGCCTGTGAATATCCTGTATGAGGAGCTGGACGAGAGGATGGGGCGCGAGAACGATCGGATGTTTGACGTGAGCCGGGATGGGCGCCCGCGACAACCGCCCACCAACACGAATTATTTGATCTTCGTCAAATACGGCGCGAGAGGCAACAGTACGCTTTTCGATGAGAGCGCGTATCCCCTTCGAAGCGCGGTCAGCTCGCGCGCGAATAGCTCCGCTTGAATGGTTTTTACCCAAAAGTTCGTCGCGCGTTGAATTTCGTGACCCGTCAAGGATGAGGGACTCTCGACGCGCTCAGCCGGCAACGTAATACGTCCGCGAGTACGCGAGATAAATCGCATAACGTAGGCGGTGATGCGCATTAACTTCGGCCACGACGAGTGGCGCGCGGCGAGATCCCACACGACAGTGTCTCTCGACATCGCGACGAGAACCTGCGTCTTTACATTTTGTTCCATTGAGGTCTGAGGGTGAGGGTCGACAGGTACCGGCCAGTCGGAGATCGGAAGCTTAAGCCACAATGGACCATGCCACCACAACGGATGGGATGCGAGCTGATGCCCGGAAATTCCGCGAGACGCGCAGTCGGCGGGGTTGTCAATGGTGGGCACGTGTCGCCACGAAGCGGAGGGAAGTCGGGTCTGGATTTCCGCGACGCGATTTGCCACGAACGTTCGCCACCGTGACGGATGCTGCGTAACCCACGCAAGGACGACCGTGGAGTCCGTCCAGCAGTAGCACGGAACCTCGGAAAGGTGGAGGGACGTGATCACGAACTCCATTAATCTGGAGAGCAGCACCGCTGCTGCGAGCTCCAATCGCGGAATGCTCAATGATTTAACGCGACCCTAGACTTTCCGACGAGGAGCATCGAGGAGACCTCTCCGGAGATCGAGAGAAGCCTCAGATAAACCACGGCTGCATACGCATGAGAGGACGCGTCCGCGAACCCGTGCAGCTCGCAGGCCGTCGTATCCGATCCGCGTCGAACCCATCGATCGAGTTGAAGGCCATCAAGTGACAGGAGTGACGCCCGAAGAGCTTCCCACTCATCAGCGAGATCGGGGGGAAATTGGTCATCCCAGTCGAGCTGTGATTGCCACAGTCGCTGAAGAAAGATTTTTGCCGTTATGGTGACCGGAGCACTCCACCCCAACGGATCAAATATTCGCGCGATATTCGAGAGAATCGATCTTTTCGTTATCGAGACAGAGGGAGGGCAGGAAATGCGGAACCGAAACACGTCCTTAGCGGGGTGCCAGCATATCCCGAGGACTTTAACCTTTTCGCCTGGTTGAAGGTCCTTGCTGCATGCCAAACCGTGATCGCTGTCATCAATGTCGCTCAAAAGAGCCGACGAGTTACTGGACCACTTACGCAAATTGAATTGGCCGCAGCACAGCAGTGAGCATACTTGCTCGCGCGCCTGCTGAAGCAGAGGGATATCGTCGGCGCCGAACAAGACGTCGTCAACATAAATGTTATCCGTCAGGACGGACACGGCTAACGGATAGGAATGCCCTTCATCGCGGACCAGTTGGCGCAGGACTCGTAACGCCAAAAACGGCGCCGACGCCATGCCGTACGTCACGGTCAAGAGCTTATATTCTTGCACGCGCTCCGTCTCGGTATCCACCCATAATATGCGTTGATAATTTGTGTCACGCAGATCAACGACGATCTGCCTATACATTTTCTCGACATCGGCCGAGTATACGTAGCGAAACTGTCGCCATCGCATCACGACCGCCGCCAAGTCCGTTTGTAGTTTCGGTCCTGGAAGCAAATTATCATTAAGCGATTTCCCGCTAGACGTTAGACTCGACGCATTGAACACCACGCGCAAGTGTGTGGTCGCACTACCGTCGCGAAAGACGGGATGGTGAGGAATATACACGCACTGAGAGGATTCTGAGAGAGGTGAGGCTCTGCGCATGTGTCCCAGAGCTTCGTATTCCCGCATGAAATTGAAATATTGTTGTTTTAGCTCGGCGTTAATTTCAAAGCGTCGAAGTAAGCTTTTTAGACATCGCTCAGCGGTATCGCGAGAACGACCGATATTAATGGGAGGATCACGTTTGAATGGAAGGCGCACAATGTATCGGCCGTGGGAAAAACGCGAATGAGTGGTCATGAAGTAATCCTCGCATCGTTGTTCCTCCGGGCCGAGTACAGTCTGTCGCGGAACTTCCTCGATCTCCCAAAATCTTCTCAGTTCGCGATCGAGCGCAAGCGACGTTGAGGCCGAACAATGTTGAACAGTGATTGTTCGGCGGGATTGAAGTGAAACACTCGTAGGACCGGATACTGCCCATCCGAAAATAGTATTTAATGCATAGGGCTGCCCGCGAGGTCCCTTCCGCATTTCGCCAAGGAATATCTCGCCATAGATATCGGCGCCGATGAGGAGCTCAATGGGATCAGAACCATTGAAGTGAGGATCTGCTAGGGCGAGATCCGCGAGATGATCCCAGTTGCACCTGGCTCGATCGAGCCCCGAATTGTAATCAGCGAGTGAAGGCAAAATCGACGCAGTGATTGTGAGACTCGGCTCTGATTTATTTTGCGGCGAGATCGTACCCATACAGCACCGAAAGATTGCAAAAACATTACAACAATCTTTCACCGCAATATTGCAATATTGCAAATTCACTGCAAAATGTTGCTACATTATTGCTGTTGAATTGCAGCAATGTTAAAATGTCCGCTTTTTGGAAGATTGCAACAAAATATTACAACAATATTGCAATATGTTATGAGTTTGCAATAATGTATTGTTATTGCAACCATAAACTAATGTTGCATATACAGATATATAAATGTAAATAAATCATTAATGAAAATACGTTGTAGTTAATTCATATATATTACAATATATAAATTATAGAATTTGGATTACATGCAATATTTCCGAAATATTAATGTCATGTTGCTACAAGTGTGCTGGAATTTTGTGCACTTATATCTCTGCAATGTCTTTATAATGTTGCATTGCAACTTGCAACATTGCAACGTTGCTGCAATATATTTGCAATAATCTGTGCTGTATGGGTAATTTGAGCTGCAAACTTGCAGTTACCCGCTTTAAGACCGCAGATGGCAGAGAGTGAAAACTGATCTTGGAAACGACGCAGTCTTAAGGTTTGTGCAAGCCGAGCGGACATGAAGGTTATCTCCGATCCCGGATCGAGCAACGCTCGCACGTTCGCGTCGCGACCCGCCGGTGAACGAACCGTGACTCGCGCCGTCGCAAGGAGTACCGGAGTTCGATGCGATAATTCTTGCGAAGCAAACAACGCTACCGCGCCGCGATTACCTCTCGCTTCGACCGGCGAAGTCGATTCAGCAGTGATCACCGAGGCGGTAACGCATGAGCCTGAATCAACATGGAGCATCGAATGATGCCTTTTCTGGCATCGGCGACAAGTGTATTGGCTAGGGTATGAATACAAGGCGTGTTTCGCACTGAGACAATTAATGCACCTTTGGTGCTGTTTGATGAACTCCATGCGTTGACTCGGACCTTTCTTAACAAATTGCGGACACTTACTCAAGTAATGACTCGCCTTACAAATCGGACACGAGACTGGAGACGTGGTGGCGGCGTTCACGGAGGCGGATCTTGACGGACGCGTGGGCTTAGCCGCGTTATGAGGCGTGAGTTCTTCCAAGGCTCGCACGCGCGCGGAGATAAATCTATCTAAGTCCTCGAATGTTGGAATCGCGGCATCATCGCCTCCTTTCAGTCGCCACGCCTTGTGCGTGGCGTGATCAAGTCGCTGAGTGACAAGATGAACTAGGACATCACTCAAAATTTCGTCTGACGACCGGTGGAGATTTCTGAGCGACGCGATAGCTCGATTGGCTTTATCCTGTAGTTCGCTAAGCTCGACGGCCGATTCGCGTGTGACGGCCGGCAGGTTGCATAGCGCGGAGACATGCACGCCGACCAGTTGCCGTTTGTTATCGTAGCGCGAGACTAGCAATCGCCAAGCGACTTCAAAATTGTCGGCGGTGACTGGGACAGTTCGTATCAATTCCAGAGCACGCCCGGAGAGACTAGACGCTAAGTAATGCATGCGGGAAAATGCAGTTAACTCTGTATTTTTAATTATGAGCGACGTGAATCGATCGCGAAAACTCTCCCAGTCCTCATGGGTTCCCGAGAACGGGGGTATATTGATAGACGGTAGGTGCGACAAGGAGAGTAACGCGGAGGGATTACCGAACGCCGGTGGACTTGCCAATGGAGTTGAGTTGAGAGGAGGCTCTAATTCTTCGAGGCATTCCGTCATGTAGTCCGCCGTCCTCTGGAAGATCTCCTCGTGTTCCTCGAACTCCGCATTGTCGAAGTAGCCGACGTCCTTCCGTTTGGCCCCTGGGAAGACATGGATCAGCGCAGCGTGAGAGGCCGTGCACAGCGCCCAAGCTTCTTTCAGGCCCGTCAGTCGCGATCGAATTAGCGCTGGCGTATAATTGTTCTTTCCGAGTTTTTTGAAATTCGGAAGAGCTCGCGCCACCGAGTGCAGTTGTGACTGCTGCTTGGTAAGCAACTGCTCACTCATGATGTTGTCAGATCTCCGTCACAGTGGTCACTTCCAAGGTCGTTGAGCTTCCACAATTCCTTCGATCCGGCTCGAAGGACCAACAATGTCGCGTACGCGAGGTGGGTTTCCCCTTTTTCTTTTTCGCGTTGACCGCGGACGCCGGTATCGCTCAGAGAGAGCGCGAAGGAAAGAGCAGCTGACAAGAGAACTCTCGAGAGATAACTCCGAATGCAGTATCACAAATTAGTTTATTTTTCGAGTACACGTTCAGTCTTAGAAGTTATGTCCGAATTATTCAACCGATCTATAGTCGTTCTGATTTTCGGTGTCGCTGACTTGACAATTTTTCGAAGAGTAAACGCTCAGAGTCGGGGCGTTCTTCGCCGAGGCGCGAGATTTCGACACGACCTCTTGGAGGGGACGCTCGTTTTTTGCGAAGAATCACGATTGGCCGGTATTGATTTCCGACCGAGTGAAGGGACCGAAATCACGCGGTCAACGGCTGATTTCTCATATCGATCAATATTGATAACTGTTGTCCTTGCCTCGCTGGCGGGGAATAACAAGTTTGTTTTGAAAAAGCGGGTTCTTACCTCTAACGTTTATTTGTACTTACAATTAATTTGACACGAAATTACCATTCAAATTATTTGTCTGTTTCTCAACATACCGCCCACCTCGAAACAATAGTTTCGAAAGAAAACAAAAGATGCGAGTGACTCAGAAAAGGTTTCGAGTAGAATTGAGCGAGGCGTTCGGCATGTCGAGGCGAGACTTGACATCACTTGTCGGCGCTTTCCGACTTCTCAATATCGATCGGCAGAAGGCACAGTCTACCGATCGGACGCTTGTACTCGGACGACGCCGTTTTTACCGTAACAACGCGAACCAATTCGTCGAGACCCGGGTGACACAAAACAACGCGGCCGAGCTCCCACTTGCACGGTGGAAGCAGTGGATTGCGAAGCAAAACCAACTGTCCCACCCAAATATTTGGCTTCTCAATATGTCGCCATTTTCCCCGCTGTTGCAGCATGTTAATATAATCGCTCTGCCACAACTTCCAAAAACGCTCGGTGAGCTGCCGAACCAACTGCCATCGAGATAGGCGATTTTCTTTTACCTGTAACAGGGAAGGCTCTGGACTCGAGTTAAGAGCAGCACCAATGAGAAAATGCCCGGGGGTCAGCGGATCGTATGTATCTATGGAGTCGGAGAGCGGTGCTATGGGCCTAGAGTTGAGGCATGCCTCGACGTTACAAAGAAGCGTGGAGAACTCTTCAAACGTCAGCGTGTGCGCTCCAACCACCCGGCGAATGTGGTGCTTCACGCTTCGAACACCGGCCTCCCATAGGCCGCCAAAATGAGGGGCGGAAGGAGGCAGAAAATGCCACTCGACATTGTCCGAAGCAGTCCTATTCAAAAAAACGGGATCGCGAAGAGCCGCTCTAAACGCGACTGTGAGTTCGCGGTCCGCTCCGACGAAGGTGGTCCCGTTATCGGAGTACACCGCCGTCGGAAGACCCCGTCGAGCCACAAATCGCGAATAGGCCCCCAAAAATGCCGGAGTGGCGTACCCCTCGACCAACTCCAAGTGTACCGCGCGCGTTGCCATACACACGAATATGGCGATGTAGGCCTTTCGGGAGGCCACTCCGCGCCCAGACATCGCTCGAACTAGTATCGGGCCAGCATAATCTACTCCGCAGTGAATGAATGCGCGCGCGGGAGGAGAGACTCTGAATTGCGGGAGGTTCCGCATAAGCTGTGTTGGGACGGCAGCTCGCTCGCGAGTGCACGCGACACACCGATGGATGACTGATCTGACCGCACCGCGAGCTCGGATAACCCAGTACCTTCGCCGCAGCGTTGCCAGAGTAAGCTGGATGCCGGCATAGAGATATCGCCTGTGAATATCCTGTATGAGGAGCTGGACGAGAGGATGGGGCGCGAGAACGATCGGATGTTTGACGTGAGCCGGGATGGGCGCCCGCGACAACCGCCCACCAACACGAATTATTTGATCTTCGTCCAAATACGGCGCGAGAGGCAACAGTACGCTTTTCGATGAGAGCGCGTTTCCCCTTCGAAGCGCGGTCAGCTCGCGCGCGAATAGCTCCGCTTGAATGGTTTTTACCCAAAAGTTCGTCGCGCGTTGAATTTCGTGACCCGTCAAGGATGAGGGACTCTCGACGCGCTCAGCCGGCAACGTAATACGTCCGCGAGTACGCGAGATAAATCGCATAACGTAGGCGGTGATGCGCATTAACTTCGGCCACGACGAGTGGCGCGCGGCGAGATCCCACACGACAGTGTCTCTCGACATCGCGACGAGAACCTGCGTCTTTACATTTTGTTCCATTGAGGTCTGAGGGTGAGGGTCGACAGGTACCGGCCAGTCGGAGATCGGAAGCTTAAGCCACAATGGACCATGCCACCACAACGGATGGGATGCGAGCTGATGCCCGGAAATTCCGCGAGACGCGCAGTCGGCGGGGTTGTCAATGGTGGGCACGTGTCGCCACGAAGCGGAGGGAAGTCGGGTCTGGATTTCCGCGACGCGATTTGCCACGAACGTTCGCCACCGTGACGGATGCTGCGTAACCCACGCAAGGACGACCGTGGAGTCCGTCCAGCAGTAGCACGGAACCTCGGAAAGGTGGAGGGACGTGATCACGAACTCCATTAATCTGGAGAGCAGCACCGCTGCTGCGAGCTCCAATCGCGGAATGCTCAATGATTTAACGGGCGCGACCCTAGACTTTCCGACGAGGAGCATCGAGGAGACCTCTCCGGAGATCGAGAGAAGCCTCAGATAAACCACGGCTGCATACGCATGAGAGGACGCGTCCGCGAACCCGTGCAGCTCGCAGGCCGTCGTATCCGATCCGCGTCGAACCCATCGATCGAGTTGAAGGCCATCAAGTGACAGGAGTGACGCCCGAAGAGCTTCCCACTCATCAGCGAGATCGGGGGGAAATTGGTCATCCCAGTCGAGCTGTGATTGCCACAGTCGCTGAAGAAAGATTTTTGCCGTTATGGTGACCGGAGCACTCCACCCCAACGGATCAAATATTCGCGCGATATTCGAGAGAATCGATCTTTTCGTTATCGAGACAGAGGGAGGGCAGGAAATGCGGAACCGAAACACGTCCTTAGCGGGGTGCCAGCATATCCCGAGGACTTTAACCTTTTCGCCTGGTTGAAGGTCCTTGCTGCATGCCAAACCGTGATCGCTGTCATCAATGTCGCTCAAAAGAGCCGACGAGTTACTGGACCACTTACGCAAATTGAATTGGCCGCAGCACAGCAGTGAGCATACTTGCTCGCGCGCCTGCTGAAGCAGAGGGATATCGTCGGCGCCGAACAAGACGTCGTCAACATAAATGTTATCCGTCAGGACGGACACGGCTAACGGATAGGAATGCCCTTCATCGCGGACCAGTTGGCGCAGGACTCGTAACGCCAAAAACGGCGCCGACGCCATGCCGTACGTCACGGTCAAGAGCTTATATTCTTGCACGCGCTCCGTCTCGGTATCCACCCATAATATGCGTTGATAATTTGTGTCACGCAGATCAACGACGATCTGCCTATACATTTTCTCGACATCGGCCGAGTATACGTAGCGAAACTGTCGCCATCGCATCACGACCGCCGCCAAGTCCGTTTGTAGTTTCGGTCCTGGAAGCAAATTATCATTAAGCGATTTCCCGCTAGACGTTAGACTCGACGCATTGAACACCACGCGCAAGTGTGTGGTCGCACTACCGTCGCGAAAGACGGGATGGTGAGGAATATACACGCACTGAGAGGATTCTGAGAGAGGTGAGGCTCTGCGCATGTGTCCCAGAGCTTCGTATTCCCGCATGAAATTGAAATATTGTTGTTTTAGCTCGGCGTTAATTTCAAAGCGTCGAAGTAAGCTTTTTAGACATCGCTCAGCGGTATCGCGAGAACGACCGATATTAATGGGAGGATCACGTTTGAATGGAAGGCGCACAATGTATCGGCCGTGGGAAAAACGCGAATGAGTGGTCATGAAGTAATCCTCGCATCGTTGTTCCTCCGGGCCGAGTACAGTCTGTCGCGGAACTTCCTCGATCTCCCAAAATCTTCTCAGTTCGCGATCGAGCGCAAGCGACGTTGAGGCCGAACAATGTTGAACAGTGATTGTTCGGCGGGATTGAAGTGAAACACTCGTAGGACCGGATACTGCCCATCCGAAAATAGTATTTAATGCATAGGGCTGCCCGCGAGGTCCCTTCCGCATTTCGCCAAGGAATATCTCGCCATAGATATCGGCGCCGATGAGGAGCTCAATGGGATCAGAACCATTGAAGTGAGGATCTGCTAGGGCGAGATCCGCGAGATGATCCCAGTTGCACCTGGCTCGATCGAGCCCCGAATTGTAATCAGCGAGTGAAGGCAAAATCGACGCAGTGATTGTGAGACTCGGCTCTGATTTATTTTGCGGCGAGATCGTACCCATACAGCACCGAAAGATTGCAAAAACATTACAACAATCTTTCACCGCAATATTGCAATATTGCAAATTCACTGCAAAATGTTGCTACATTATTGCTGTTGAATTGCAGCAATGTTAAAATGTCCGCTTTTTGGAAGATTGCAACAAAATATTACAACAATATTGCAATATGTTATGAGTTTGCAATAATGTATTGTTATTGCAACCATAAACTAATGTTGCATATACAGGTATATAAATGTAAATAAATCATTAATGAAAATACGTTGTAGTTAATTCATATATATTACAATATATAAATTATAGAATTTGGATTACATGCAATATTTCCGAAATATTAATGTCATGTTGCTACAAGTGTGCTGGAATTTTGTGCACTTATATCTCTGCAATGTCTTTATAATGTTGCATTGCAACTTGCAACATTGCAACGTTGCTGCAATATATTTGCAATAATCTGTGCTGTATGGGTAATTTGAGCTGCAAACTTGCAGTTACCCGCTTTAAGACCGCAGATGGCAGAGAGTGAAAACTGATCTTGGAAACGACGCAGTCTTAAGGTTTGTGCAAGCCGAGCGGACATGAAGGTTATCTCCGATCCCGGATCGAGCAACGCTCGCACGTTCGCGTCGCGACCCGCCGGTGAACGAACCGTGACTCGCGCCGTCGCAAGGAGTACCGGAGTTCGATGCGATAATTCTTGCGAAGCAAACAACGCTACCGCGCCGCGATTACCTCTCGCTTCGACCGGCGAAGTCGATTCAGCAGTGATCACCGAGGCGGTAACGCATGAGCCTGAATCAACATGGAGCATCGAATGATGCCTTTTCTGGCATCGGCGACAAGTGTATTGGCTAGGGTATGAATACAAGGCGTGTTTCGCACTGAGACAATTAATGCACCTTTGGTGCTGTTTGATGAACTCCATGCGTTGACTCGGACCTTTCTTAACAAATTGCGGACACTTACTCAAGTAATGACTCGCCTTACAAATCGGACACGAGACTGGAGACGTGGTGGCGGCGTTCACGGAGGCGGATCTTGACGGACGCGTGGGCTTAGCCGCGTTATGAGGCGTGAGTTCTTCCAAGGCTCGCACGCGCGCGGAGATAAATCTATCTAAGTCCTCGAATGTTGGAATCGCGGCATCATCGCCTCCTTTCAGTCGCCACGCCTTGTGCGTGGCGTGATCAAGTCGCTGAGTGACAAGATGAACTAGGACATCACTCAAAATTTCGTCTGACGACCGGTGGAGATTTCTGAGCGACGCGATAGCTCGATTGGCTTTATCCTGTAGTTCGCTAAGCTCGACGGCCGATTCGCGTGTGACGGCCGGCAGGTTGCATAGCGCGGAGACATGCACGCCGACCAGTTGCCGTTTGTTATCGTAGCGCGAGACTAGCAATCGCCAAGCGACTTCAAAATTGTCGGCGGTGACTGGGACAGTTCGTATCAATTCCAGAGCACGCCCGGAGAGACTAGACGCTAAGTAATGCATGCGGGAAAATGCAGTTAACTCTGTATTTTTAATTATGAGCGACGTGAATCGATCGCGAAAACTCTCCCAGTCCTCATGGGTTCCCGAGAACGGGGGTATATTGATAGACGGTAGGTGCGACAAGGAGAGTAACGCGGAGGGATTACCGAACGCCGGTGGACTTGCCAATGGAGTTGAGTTGAGAGGAGGCTCTAATTCTTCGAGGCATTCCGTCATGTAGTCCGCCGTCCTCTGGAAGATCTCCTCGTGTTCCTCGAACTCCGCATTGTCGAAGTAGCCGACGTCCTTCCGTTTGGCCCCTGGGAAGACATGGATCAGCGCAGCGTGAGAGGCCGTGCACAGCGCCCAAGCTTCTTTCAGGCCCGTCAGTCGCGATCGAATTAGCGCTGGCGTATAATTGTTCTTTCCGAGTTTTTTGAAATTCGGAAGAGCTCGCGCCACCGAGTGCAGTTGTGACTGCTGCTTGGTAAGCAACTGCTCACTCATGATGTTGTCAGATCTCCGTCACAGTGGTCACTTCCAAGGTCGTTGAGCTTCCACAATTCCTTCGATCCGGCTCGAAGGACCAACAATGTCGCGTACGCGAGGTGGGTTTCCCCTTTTTCTTTTTCGCGTTGACCGCGGACGCCGGTATCGCTCAGAGAGAGCGCGAAGGAAAGAGCAGCTGACAAGAGAACTCTCGAGAGATAACTCCGAATGCAGTATCACAAATTAGTTTATTTTTCGAGTACACGTTCAGTCTTAGAAGTTATGTCCGAATTACTCAACCGATCTGTAGTCGTTCTGATTTTCGGTGTCGCTGACTTGACAATTTTTCGAGGAGTAAACGCTCAGAGTCGGGGCGTTCTTCGCCGAGGCGCGAGATTTCGACACGACCTCTTGGAGGGGACGCTTGTTTTTTGCGAAGAATCACGATTGGCCGGTATTGATTTCCGACCGAGTGAAGGGACCGAAATCACGCGGTCAACGGCTGATTTCTCATATCGATCAATATTGATAACTGCTGTCCTTGCCTCGCTGGCGGGGAATAACAAGTTTGTTTTGAAAAAGCGGGTTCTTACCTCTAACGTTTATTTGTACTTACAATTAATTTGACACGAAATTACCATTCAAATTATTTGTCTGTTTCTCAACAATATTCATATAGAATATTTTAGAATATTCTATACCAAGCGGGAATAACAACACTCATATCGTTTTTTGCATGTTTGTTTTAAGAAACCATACCGCGACATAAATCATTCTGTCATGTAAAAAAACCTACCAAAATACTAACAACTAACGTTATCGCAACCGTTTCGCCTAATAGTTATATTTCTACAAGCATGCGCGGCGTCTCACGGGCGCCTTGTTTTACCAATGATCATCGCGATCGCCCGCTCGCGCATGCTCGTTCACAGCCGACATTTGTCAATTTTGACAGCGGCCAATTACGCGTACTGCGCTCGGGTCACCTCGCGCAATTTTCAAAACGCGCAAAATCATTGGCGCATCACGCGAAGGTGGGCTCTCTTCAAAAAATTATAAAAGAGGAGCCCACACCCGGCTTGTCAGCCTTATCGTCTTCCGCCGTGAACCGCATATCGCAAACCGCATACTTGTAAAACCACTAAAAAACTCGTTGTCAACCGCCGCTTTTTCCGCATTTTGATTATGATTCTGATTTTCTCTGTAAATTAAGTAAGATTATAAAAGTTTGTTGAAGTGTTCGTTCTTAATTGTTTATAATATTAAAAGTCGGTTTTAATACAAAAGGTGACTCATCCTTTGGGTGCCGCGCGATCCTTTCTCTCGCAGCGCGTTCGTGAACATATTTCTGGTCCTTCGAGCCGGATTCGTCGCACCGGCAACCGCAAGTTCGCGAGCGTGACTCCTCGTGTGAGTGAAGGTGTGAACATCTGTGTGCGCAGCCGTCATGGATGTGCCCACGCTGGTCGATTGTCAGCGTGAGATTCAAATTCGAATCTCACGCTCTGTAGAGTACTTGAAGAAGCTGGGCAGCGCCAATATCACCACCAGTGCTATCGCCACACGCACCAGAATCCTGGATCAGCTGTGGACAAAGTTCGAGACGCAGCATGACCTTATCCGAGCGGCCTTGAAAGACAAATTCAGTGAGAGCAATTATTTCAAATCAGATTTCCATGCAGATACAGAAAATCTGTACGTAAGTCAGAGAAGCATACTTGATGGCTACGCCGAACACTTTCGTGCACCAAACGTAGCTCCTTCTGCCGACGTCACGCCACGGTCGTCACTGCCGCGCATCAAGGTACCGCCATTCTCGGGTGCTTACGCTGATTGGTCGTCGTTTCGGGATCTCTTTCTCTCCGTCGTGAGTGGCAACGCGATCTCCAACATCGAGCGCTTCCATCACCTCCGCTCATGTCTGACGGGACCGGCTGAAAAATTAATAAAGTCGTTACCTGTCATTAGCGACAATTATGAGCGTGCCTGGGCGATACTGGACAAGCACTACAACAATAAAAGGGAACTGATCCGCTCCAACTTTGCCACGTTCATCGCCGTGCCAAAGATGAAGGGAGATACCGCAGAGGAGTTGAGACGCATCCACAACGCCGTTACTGCTGCCGTCAACGGTCAGGAGGTCATCGGGCGTCCAATAAACTCCCACGGGATGGACCTCTTCAACTTCCTGGTGACTGAGCTGTTTGATGCACGCACACGTCTAGAGTGGGAGTCGTTCATTTCAGACACATCAGAGCCAGCACAGAACGAGGCACTCGGTGACTTTATTAGTCGGCGGATCTTAACGCTCCATGCCGCACGACCGAAGGGCGTCAGAAAACCGTCCGGAGATGCTCCACGGATCGCCAAGGCACACGTCACGAAACACCACGGACCTGAACCGCCGCACTGTGCCCTGTGTCGCGAGAAGCACACTTTGATGACCTGCCGAGACTTCAAGGCCAAGACAGTCAATGAGCGTAAAGCATTCATAGAGACAAGCAAGCTCTGCTACAATTGCTTAGGCAACCACTTTTTATCTCGCTGCCAGTCAAAGAAGAACTGTCTCACATGCGACGCACGACACCACACGATGTTGCACGAAGCACCGACGTCTTCACTGTCAGCTGAGGCCACCACACGCGCCACCACACTGACCACGACTCTGCAACATCAGGATCACAAGGCCGTTCTGCTGGCAACAGCTCGAGTGAACATCGCCGATCGGTACGGTTCACCACACGCCGTACGCGCTCTGATCGACCAATGCTCTGAGGTGTCGATCATTTCAGAGACCTTGGCACAACGCCTTCGCCTTCCTCGAGTCTCGACGGATCTCTCGATCTTCGGCATCGGAGGGACCCGCTCAGGATCCGCTCGAGGCAAAGTAACGCTGCACGTAACATCAGACGTGACCAATGCCGAGCTCAGCGTGGTAGCCTTTGCGCTGCCTCGCATATCACTGCAGCAAGGATCAGTCTCACGAGGAGAACGCAGCTGGCCTCATCTCAAAGGACTCCAGCTGGCCGATCCTCGCTTTTTGGACGACGACCCAGCTGAGTTACTCCTAGGAGCCGAGGTCTATTCCTTGATTCTCGAGGAAGGCCTCCGCAAGGGAGATTCAAGGATGCCGATCGCCCAGCAAACAAACCTGGAGTGGATCCTCTCTGGCGGATACGACGCAGCAACAGTCAACGGACATCGCCGCACATTCCGATGCACCGCCGATCATGACCTCGCCGATCTCGTTCGCCGCTTTTGGGAGCAGGAGAGCGAGCAAATATCTCGGGCTCCACTCACTCCTGACGAAACCAAGTGCGAGGAGCTCTATGCGCGCACCGTCACACGCACGCCCATCGGAAGATACATGGTGAGACTGCCTCTCGCATCACCACCGACGACTCTTCAAGACACTCGCCGCCCAGCGGAGCACCTCCTGAAAGCCATGGAGTCCAAGGGCAGCCGAGACCCTCGATTTGGTGACCTCTATCGCGGTTTCATGCAGGAATACGAGGACCTGCAACACATGAAGAGGGTAAACATCGCAACAACGGCGGAGAAGATCAGATGCTACTTACCGCATCACGGGGTCCTGAAGGAGTCGAGCACGACGACGAAGCTTCGAGTCGTGTTCAACGGCTCTCAACGGACACGAACCGGTACCTCGCTGAATTCACATCTGCTGACTGGGGCGAATTTACTGCCAGCGCTCACCGACGTACTGCTGCGGTGGCGTTGGCACCGGTATGTCTTCGTCACAGACATCGAGAAGATGTACCGCCAAATTCTCGTACATCCTGAGGACTGCAGTCTTCAAACAATACTGTGGCGTCATAACAAAACAAACGAGATCCAGGAGTACGAGCTGCTGACGGTGACCTACGGCATGGCTTGTGCACCGTTCCTGGCCATCCGAACGTTGCGGCAGCTCTGTGCGGACGAGGGGGCGCAGTTTCCTCAAGGGGCCACAGCACTTCGGCGAGATTGCTACGTCGACGACGTAGTCACCGGAGCGGACAACCTCGACGATGCCATCAACCTCCAAACAGAGCTGCGCAACCTCTGCATGGCGGGCGGGTTTCCGCTGAGGAAGTGGGCTTCAAACAATCCGGACGTCCTCACCGGAGTCCCACAGGAGCATCGGCTGCAGCAAGGACCACATTCCTGGGACGACGAGAGCCATTCGACCTTGGGCCTGCGATGGCATCCTCAAGAAGACCGGTTTGCCTTCACCATACATCCTCGTGTAGTCAGCGAGTTCACGAAGCGACGAGTCCTCGCAGAGACTGCACGGCTGTTTGACCCGATGGGCTGGCTCGCACCTGTCGTGATTCGGGCGAAGATCCTGATCCAGACCACCTGGCTTCAGCAACTCGACTGGGACACTCCACTGCCGGCCAAGGACGTCAAACGTTGGCACCAGCTGTTGAACCAGCTACCTCTGCTCAGCAACATACGAGTGAATCGCTGGCTCAGAACCGACAGCGATTACTCCACGGTGCAGATCTACGGCTTCGCAGATGCATCAGAGCGCGGATATGCTGCAGCCGTTTACATCCGCAACTCTGAAAGGGAACAAATCTCAATCAATTTACTCATGGCGAAATCCAAGGTCGCACCCGTCAAGCAAGTTTCATTGCCTCGCCTTGAACTGTGCGCTGCTGTGCTACTCACCACGTTGACGTTGCATATCCGAAACACGCTCGGCTTGACATCAACTCCAGTGCACCTGTGGTCCGATTCCAAGGTCACTCTCCATTGGATCCAGGGACACGCCGCTCGCTGGAAAACGTTCGTCGCCAACCGGGTAGCTCACATCCAGACTAAGCTCCCGGACGCTCAGTGGAGACACGTGGCCGGGAAGGACAATCCTGCAGATTGCGCATCACGAGGAATTAATCCGGCAGAGTTAATCAATCACGCGCTATGGTGGACTGGACCTACCTGGTTGGCATTGGATGAGACAGCGTGGCCCAGCTCAGAGGTCGACATCTCAGAGGACGACCTTCCGGAACAACGCACCACCAGCCTGATGACCAAACGTGCCACCATCATTGAACCGGATCTTCTCCTTCGGTTCTCCACACTCCATCGGCTGCTGCGCGTTACGGCCTGGTGTCGTCGATGGCTCAACGTGGCGAGCCGAGAGGTCACACTTAGTCGCCCGCTGCCTCCTGATGAGCTGGACGCCGCCCTACTCCAGTGGCTTCGAATTGTGCAGGCGCTCCACTTTCCGGACGAGGTAGCCGCTGCCATCGCGGGACGCCCCGGTCCACCACGCAGTCCACTGATCAAACTCAGTCCATTCCTCGACGACCAAGGTGTACTGCGCGTAGGAGGGCGCCTCAAACACGCTCTGCTGCCCTACGACGAGAAGCACCCGGTGATCGTCCCGCCGGCCTCCTGGATGACGCGACTGCTCATCGAGTCCTGCCATCGTCGGTCTCTACACGGCGGCGTCCAGATGACTCTCGGCTTGCTTCGTCTTCGATTCTGGGTGCCACGAGGAAGGACCGTCGTCAAGCAGCAACTTCATCGGTGCGTCACTTGCACTCGCTGGCGAGCGGCCACTCCACAGCCTCCAATGGGCAACCTTCCGCGTGACCGAGTGACGCCGACTCGGCCATTCCTGAGCACTGGCCTGGACTACGCGGGACCCATCTTCATCCGGACCAGCAAGGGGCGCGGACACCGCTCACAGAGAGGATACATAGCTGTCTTCGTATGCTTCTGGTCGAAGGCTATCCACCTCGAGGTCGTCTCGGACTACAGTTCCGAGGCCTTCATCGCCGCCTTACGCCTTCGTCTCCCGCAGAGGCCTGTGTACGGACATGTACAGCAACTGCGGCACGACGTTCGTCGGCGCCGATCGCGCCCTGCGCGAGCTCTTCAAGGCGTCAACCTCCGAGGGCCATCACATCGCCCGCGCCGCCAACAATCAAGGGATCCGCTGGCACTTTAATCCGCCAGCGGCCCCTCACTTCGGTGGTCTGTGGGAGGCTGCCGTGAAATCAACAAAATTCCACCTCCGTCGAGTAATCGGCGAAACCACCCTCACATATGAGGAGCTTAGCACACTTCTCACGCAAATCGAGGCGTGTCTTAATTCTCGTCCGTTGCAGGCTTTATCAGACGATCCGGACGACACTTCAGCGCTCACACCAGGCCACTTCATTATCGGGGCGCCGCTATTAGCCGTACCTGAGCCATCGTTAACTGGTCAACCAGCATCCACTCTGTCACGCTGGCGTCACCTCCAATTGATGCGAGACCATTTTTGGCAGCGTTAGTCAGCAGAGTACGTGCACGGCCTCAACCCCCGTACCAAATGGGTCAAGGCCGAGGCCGCACCTCACGTGGGGGACCTCTGTCTCATTCGCTCGGAGCTCACCCCTCCGACCCGATGGCCTCTCGCACGGATCACGAGACTGCATCCCGGGGACGACGGTGTCGTCCGCGTGGTGTCGGTCCGCACCGCCACATCCGAATTCGTGCGCCCGCTCGTTAAATTAGTCATGCTTCCGGGCGCGGATTGTATTTCTGGCATGACTAACGCAGACACGTCGTCTGCCGGCACGTAATTCATCTCGCGACACTTTTCACCTCATGCATTGTATCACTTGTCACATCTCTTTTTTTCTTTTTTTTTGATCCATCACCGCACTGATAATTGTTCCGTCGTCGCACTGCACTACACACCTCATCATTTCTCACCAAACACGCGGTTCATTGTATCAGCTGATCGATTCACATACCACGCGATCATCACATGTCTTTCAGCACGTCGGCGCGTCTACCCCACCATCGATCACTATCGACTCGAGACCGAAATTCCACATATGTTGTCGCTGCGCGACAAGGCGGGCGGGAATGTTCGAAATGCATACTAGAATTATGTGATATCATACGCGTAAGGAAATATCATATTCATATAGAATATTTTAGAATATTCTATACCAAGCGGGAATAACAACACTCATATCGTTTTTTGCATGTTTGTTTTAAGAAACCATACCGCGACATAAATCATTCTGTCATGTAAAAAAACCTACCAAAATACTAACAACTAACGGTATCGCAACCGTTCCGCCTAATAGTTATATTTCTACGAGCATGCGCGGCGTCTCACGGGCGCCTTGTTTTACCAATGATCATCGCGATCGCCCGCTCGCGCATGCTCGTTCACAGCCGACATCCTGTCAATTTTGACAGCGGCCAATTACGCGTATTGCGCTCAGGTCACCTCGCGCAATTTTCAAAACGCGCAAAATCATTGGCGCATCACGCGAAGGTGGGCTCTCTTCAAAAAATTATAAAAGAGGAGCCCACACCCGGCTTGTCAGCCTTATCGTCTTCCGCCGTGAACCGCATATCGCAAACCGCATACTTGTAAAACCGCTAAAAAACTCGTTGTCAACCGCCGCTTTTTCCGCACTTTGATTATGATTCTGATTTTCTCTGTAAATTAAGTAAGATTGTAAAAGTTTGTTGAAGTGTTCGTTCTTAATTGTTTATAATATTAAAAGTCGGTTTTAATACAAAAGGTGACTCATCCTTTGGGTGCCGCGCGATCCTTTCTCTCGCAGCGCGTTCGTGAACACATGGGTTGAACCATTAGCAGTTGCTGGTACAAGTTGTAATACTGACAGTGAAAATTCCTCTACAGAAGAAATTCGTGAACAATTAAGTAATAAAATAGTATAGTTTGTTCATTATAAATTGTTTAGGATTGAGAAAAATTCGCCGCGCTCGATCAAACGAAAATTCACGGATCAGTCGAGAATTTAGGTAAAGGCAAGTGCCGCGGGCCTAACACGGCAGCACCTCGCGCCACGCACCGCGGGAAGCGCCGCGGAAGCAAATTTTCGGCCAATTAGCGCGTTCCGCGCGTACCCCTCGCGATTACGCGGTCGATAGCGTGATCGATGAGGGCAGCATTCCGTCGGAGACAGTCGTAGTGGAGAGAGAGCCGGCTTTGGTCGCAAGTCAGACTAAAACAATTCGCGTTACGGTGTAATAAATGCGTGAATGTACTATCGCGACAAATACGAACAGATTTGCGCGGTATTTTGTGACATATCGAGAGTGAAAAGTTAACAAGTAATCGGATCTCGTTCGCGACGCAACATAGAGGTTCTCGCGACGAATTCGCCATTCTCTCGTGCACGCTACGTGCACGTGATCGAATATTACGAATATTCGGATCCTGCTGGAGGATTTATTGCGATATTCGCGTACAGGTGAATGCATGTCGTGCATTCTCTCTCTCTCTCTCTCTTTCTCTCTCTCTCCCGCGCTCTCTCTCGCAATTGTCGTAGCACGCCGTCGCGACGAGTTCGCCGTTGTATTGTGCACGCTGCGTACACGTGATCGACTCCTGCGAATATTCGAATCCTTCTGGAGGATTCTGTGTGATAGTCACCTGCAGATGAATGCATGTCGTGCATTCTCTCTCTCTCCCTCTCTCCCTCTCTCAGGAGTGTCGTCACAGTGTTTTCGATTTCCAAAATCTTTCACGCGGTGTGCACGTGCAAGCGGCTAGCGACTCAAAGATTTGGCCAGAATCGCTTGCATTATTGTCGTCGAGCGATTGTAATCCTGCGTTAATCTTGTGAGTTAATTTTCGTTGTGAGAAGTGATCGTGAACAAGATAATGTAAGACAATTATTGAATCGCGTTAAATCATATGTGCGCGTTTTCGATAAATTATAACGGTCGTCTACAAGAGGACAAATTTGTTATTGTACGATTCGCGATCGTGACTTTCAAATAGGACATTGTTTTTTTTTTGCGACAAAAGACATTGGTGTCGATATCGAACAAACAGTGTTCTTTTTGTGATCGCGAGCTTAGAAACGAATAATTGTTTTGTACGACGCTTGATACACAATCAGGCGTTCGATAAGTGATCAATTGTCAAATGTAAATTTGCTGCGCGTACAGCAAACGCTTTCGATTCTCATATCGAGTTTTTTCTTTGGTTTGTTTGTGTCAAGTCCAGGTGACTTTCAGACGTGTGATATAATAAATTGATCTGTTTTTGTTCATCAAACTCAAGACTCCTTTTCAATTCGGCCTCCTGCGTAAATCATCAATCTCAGCGCACACATGGGTGCGCGATCACCCTATTAAGATACAATCCACTCAACAATTATCCTATTGTCCATTCATCACATCTCTCATGAGATTCCTATGATTTCTTTCCAATAAGAAAAAAAGGGGTGAAGGATCTGAGAGGCGGCGCGCGAGACGCGGCCCTAAAAAGGCCGAGCATGCTCGTTCGTCGCAGCTTCGTGTCGGACCACGGTTCATGCCGCGCGTACGCAACATAAATACATTTGTAATATTAATCTAACTTATAAAAATATATTTTATCTTTCCAAAGCGGCAGCAAGAAAAAGAAAATTAAATATAGACAAATATTTAGAAGAAATGTTAGAAGAGAAAAGATTGAAATGTGAAGCAGATAATAAAAAACACACAGAAAAGATGGAACAACTTGATGATATAAAAAGCTTATTAAAAAAGCTAATTGACAAATAGTTTTATATATGTTTAATTTTTTATTTTTAGGGCTCCGACACAATAAAAGGAATTTCTTGTTCTTTATGCAGGATTCACACAGCATAAAAATTAAATTTTCTGATTGGACATCGGACGTCGTACGTCGAATATCGGACGCTGTGTGAATCCTGCATTATTCCTTTCATTGTATTTAAGCTCTTATATTTTTGTTTATTAATGAATATGTTTAATGAATGTTGCTTTTTATGTTCATAGATGTTAGGGCCATTCCTACTGTGGAATGATCCCTATGTTAACAAATTTTGTTTAAATTTTGTTTTAATTTTATTTTGTTTTTTAGTTTATTTGTACTTAATTTTTATTTAAAACATTATTAAAAATTAATGTTAAAAAGAATAAAAGATGAAACAGAAAATGAAAATGAAACTAAAAATGAAACTTTATGTAACTTTATGAAACATTATGTGATAGAATAAGACCTAAAAGACTTTTTCATAGTTTAAGTATTTTTAGGTATAAATTAATAAAAAAATAAGACAAATAAAATAGTTTTTATTTATTAATGGTATACAAATGGTATAAAGATTATAAATAAAGTATACATTCTTAAAAATATATATAATGTATTTTATATGTATATGTATATTATAAAAATAGTTGACGATTTAGAAGTGCTTGGGCGATAAAATCTCTTTTTTGTATGCCTTCTTCTTTAGTTGCACTATCGATAATTTCATGATTTTCATTTTGTCCATCATTAACAATTATAGGTATATCTATTATATCATTATGTAATAAACATATATTATGTAAAATGCAACAAGTTACTATATATTTTGGTATTAAGTCAGTCCTAGTCATTGGTAAAGTATCGAGAATACTTCTAAATCTTCCTTTTAATAATCCCAATGACCTTTCTACAATCATTCGTGAAGAAGAATATATTTTATTATAATTTGTTTGAGTTTCTGTCAAATGCCCATTATCTCGAAAAGGTATCATAATGTATTTTTGTATTCCATATGCAGAATCCCCCAATAAGTGACTATTTTCAGGAAAATTTTCTTCTGTGCACATATTCTGAAATCCTGATAGTCTGAAGACTCTCATATCATGTACGGACCCAACTTGTCCAGCATAACAGTGAATAAATTTTAGACTTGAATCACATATAACCTAAAAAATATTTATTTATAATAATATTAAGTTTATCCAATTCACACACACACACACACTTTTATGTACCTGTAATTGTATTGAATGATATCCTTTTCTATTTATATAACATTCGGGGTTCTTTTTTGGTGCTGCTATTTTTATATGAGTACCATCAATTGCACCTAATACTTTTGGGAACCCATATCTATTTTTTATTGTTGTCCATGTAGCTGTGGCTTCTTCCAGGGATGGCCATTTTATAAATGTATGCAAATGGTAGTATAAAGCATTGACTACTTTCATAACACTTCTCCAAGCTGTTGCTCTTCCAATACCAAATCGATCACTTACACATCTATTACAAAAATATTCTAGGTCAGATTTTTTTAACATTGTAATTATATACTTAAAAAAAAAAATAAACTAGATAGAAGAATTTTATATATAAAATTATGAAATATTTACCTGTATGAATTGGGTGTGGCCATCATCCAAATAGCTATTAATAATTGCTTCTCAGGTGTTATTGGATGACGCCCGAATTTTTCTGAGTGTTTCTGAAGATGAGGAGTTAATAATTCCAACACAAATATAAATGTTGCCGTTTCATCCTGTACAAAGTACATGACTTTTTATACTTTCTGATATGTAATATTTTATATTTTTGTATTTTTGTTTAATACCTTACCGAAAATGGGTTTTAAATTCCATATCTGAATATAATGATACAATATTTTCAACGTAATTTTTACATTTTGTTCTAGGTATTTTAATTTGTCGTCTCATTTCATTTATTAATTCCATTTCCAAATCGCTTTCACTTGATGACTCACTCGAATCATATATATTCTCGATTAAATTATATGTAATTAATGCAATAACGGTATTATCCATTTCACCAATTTTTCACTCGATGATTATTAGCGAAAAAGGTTAGTTAAAAGTCTGCTGAAAGCGTACTGTAGTGCGTTCCGTTTTACTATTTTGCAGTAGCTTCAAAGTGCACAAAATTAAAAAGGAACGCTGTCAACAGTACACTTGCATGACGTCATAGTGCCAGTACTTGCAGTGCATAATGGAACGCACCCTGTGATTCAAAGTAACGTGTATTGTATATTCGATCAGTAGATTTTCGGAATTTGCGTGCAGCCGTTCTCCGCGAGTGTGTTAAATATTTTTATTTTCGACTCGGCGAGAGAGTCACGAAATTACCGTTATCTCATTGTCACCTTTTTTTTGTATACCGCGCCGTGTCTTGAATTATGTTATTGTGACCTCTGTATATACCGCGTGTCCGCGATAATAAGTTTGAACAGCACACCGTTTACCAATTTTTCTTTGTGAATTCCGTTCGTATAATATTGTCGCGAAATTGTTTAAAGTATTCAATATTGTTATAATTAATGACAATTTAACAGATCGATTCCGTCATACCGACATATTCGCATATATCATTATATTATATTCTTTCATACCGCTAGCCTCAATATTAATGTTTATTATATAATTATATTGTCCATTTATACTTATTACATGTAAAATTGTTAGTCTTAAGTGTTCGAAATATATATATGTTTATTCATGTCAACATGTGTATGTCTTTCTAACTACCTCTCTCTCAACCATAGACCAAAAATCCTATAGACCCGCGACTCACTGCCGAATTTTGACGAGTTACCTTAAGTACCGTTTTCATTAATATCGTGGCGCATTCACACACGACTGGCGCCCAATTTTATCATGAGTTACCGAAAGTACTGAAGTACGAGTAATTAACTCTTTTGTTACCGATTTTTAACGTTTTATGGTTTGAACTAGTAGAATATTTAAATTGAACGCTCCCCTGTCCAAACTTGGCGTTTCGGAGCAGGAAAAGACGTTGCAATGTCCAGATTTAATAAAGATTATTCTCGATGCTTAATCCATACACTGAATCGGAATTTGCGCCGACTTCTTTATCAATTCGCCAGTCTGCAAAAAGGCCACTTTTTGTATTAGTTTTCCAATAAAATTGCACGTCTAAACCACCAAGTCTTAATATAAGTTATATTTAGCTCGTTTATAGAATATAATTGCCTATCGAATTACTACCTTGATGTCTAAAATACGTCTTTTGTATCGACACGTGCAGAGCAGTGGGCAGAGCAAAGAGATTATATTTACAAATACCAATGTCAGTTAAGTTAATATTTGCACTGTTGCCAGATGTAATTCGTGTTCGTATGCGCACGATTCTCACCTAGTTTCGAGCACTCGAATCTTTCATTCAAGAATAGCAGTTGTTGAACGTATTCGCATCTTCGACCGCTTGAATCGTGCGTATGCGCAAGTTTACGAGTGATTCGAGAATAGGGCCCCATGTATTGAAACTTTTACGAGCAAATCTTAAAGATGTTATTCTTTTTATAATCAATGAAGTGTCAATGATATCCAATTTGACTTTAATGTATATACATCTTCGAGTGTCTGGCATATTTGACACTAGTGATTGTGATGATAGTTGGTTTGGTCAAAAGCATATTTTTTTATTCGGAGACTTACTTCAATTACCTCCCGTGCACAAAGAGCCTATCTTTATGCATTTATCAAATGAAAAAATTGTCAAACATCTTGGTTCCTTAAATGCTATTAATTTATGGACGACATTATTTGAACTACGAAGAATTGACAATTAATATGCGTCAACAAAGAGATATATATTTCTTACCGTGAGTTATTGTCGCGAATTCGTATTAGTTTAGTCACAAAATCTAATTGTAAAATTTTAGAAAGTATGTTTTAAAGGTATAAATTAAAAAAAATATCTTTTAAAGGTATCTTTAAAAGGTATCTTAAAAAATATCTTTTAAAGGTATTGTTCGAAAATCGAACGTCAAAAAAGCTGAAAAGTCTTAAAACATTATTGCATTAAAATTTATGCAGTCTTTTCATTCACATGCAACATGCATCATGCTTAATTTTATATTAATATTATTTTCAAATAGCGCTCGGCCGCACAGGTATACGTATACCCCGCGCCTGCGAAAAGGAAGCGCTTACGTCAAATCTCATATAATGGTAAACACCGCGGTCGCGCGAGAGGAGATACAATTTAGTTACCGATAATAACAAAACGACTATTTTCCTGAAAGTAAATAATTACACTAAACGCTCTTTCGCCCTCAGCCGAACGATAAAATTAAGAGAATCTTTCTCGACTATTCTAGAAATACGGGCCTATATAAACCTCCTCTCTCGTGATCGCGGCGTTCTTTTCCGATTGCTTGTCGCGTCAAGAGTGTGTTTATACTTTACGAAAAAGATCGCTTGTCTTTTTCGTTTTTCACGCTTAATTACAGTTGCTTGCGGACACTCAGTAATTTATCTTCGACCCGGCTTTTCTCTCGCTTATTGCATTCATTCTAATACGTTCGACTCAGCTATTTTTTTGGTAAATTCTGTGCGGTTAAACAATTGTATTTTTTGTTAATAGTTGAAATATATTTTTGTTAATGATACGCGTATGTCGAGTGCAGTACTTCTCTATCATCTCGCTTCCGACCTTCCCTTCCCGCTATCCGTTGTGCACATTTTTTGGTCCTTCGAGCCGGATCCTCCGGAACCTCCTTTGAATCCGGTGCCACGGAAGCGATAGTGCATCAGTGTCGGTGACCAGTGCTTCTGGAAAAAAGAGACAGAGTAAGAGATGGCCGACACTAAGGCAATTATTGCCACCGCCACAGTGTTATACGGCAAGATCTCTCGCGCGTACGAGAACCTTAGGAAGCTCGGCGAGGCCAATATCATCCTTGGGGCGGTGGAGTCCCGGCTTCTAAACCTCGAGAAGCTGTGGGAGAAATTCGACGGGATTAACGATACGTTAGCCGATCGCGTTGACGAAATACGCCACGATGTCTACGCAAAACAAGACATCCCTTCGTTGGGCGAAGAGGCTTACCTGCAGAACAAGGGCCTCATGCTCGACTTAAAGAGTGCTCTCCAGATTCAACTGCAGGCAGTCAGCTCTACCTCGATCGCAACAACGACTTCCGCTCCTCGGACAGCGCTGCCGAAAATCCAGCCGCCGACCTTCGCCGGAAAATACGAGGACTGGCCTTCGTTCAGAGATCTTTTCCAATCGATCATCGGCCGGAACCAGGCAGCAAAACCTGTGGAGAAGCTGCATTATTTAAAGCTTTGCGTAAAAGGTGACGCTGACTTGCTTATTCGGAACCTCAGCATCACGGACGATAACTACGACATTGCCTGGAAGACGCTAAGTGACTATTACGAAAACAAAAGATTACTGACGCGTAATTATCTCAACAATTTTTTGATGTTGACCAAGATGAAGAGCGAATCCGCCGCTGAATTGAAGAGGCTTTTCCACGGAGTCAAAACTACGGTCAGCTCACTAAAGAGCATCGATCAACCAATAGACCGCACGGAAGACCTCTTCGTCCACCTAGTCGTCGAGCTCCTCGACAATCGCTCCAGGCGAGAATGGGAGAGTGACATAAGTCACACGACGAATCCGCCCTCCTACTCCGAGCTGGAGGCCTTCATAGAACGCCGACTTTATACATTGGAGGTGCTGTTTCCGGCCAGGAACGAAAGCGGCAGCCACAGCACTTCAAAGTCAACGCGGAGCCACCACGTAAAAAAGCAAGACCCGAAAGAGAAGCCCAGGGGCCGGTGCTCCATCTGTCAGGGGGACCACTTTGTGATGTTCTGCGGCGACTACAAGGGCAAGACGGCGATGGCTCGCAAACAGCTCGTCAGTGAACACAAACTCTGCTCGAACTGCCTTGGACGCCATCAATTTTCGGAGTGCGCGTCGAAGAAAACGTGTACAGCGTGTGGCAGTCAACATCACTCCTCGCTTCACGACGCCTTCCGGGAAGCCGAGCCCTCCACAACTTCACATGTGGCTCAAGGTACACATTCTTCCTCCGCTACGGTGCTGCTCGCCACGGCCAGGGTCCGCGTCCTCGACTGCCACGGATCTTGGCAGTCCGCTCGCGCCCTAATCGACCAGGGATCCGAATCATCCCTCATCTCGGAACGATTAGCGCAGCGACTACGACTCCCTCGAATAGCAGCCGCCGTGAGTGTCTATGCAGTCGGAGAAAGAAGGACCGGAGTAGCAAAAGGGAAGGTGAGACTTACCCTGCAGTCGCGCAGCGGTGAATCGTCCACCTTTGTCGACGCGTTGGTGCTGCCAAAACTGACATTGTTCTCCGGAGGCTGTCGCAGCCGTATGAGCTCTTGGACCCATCTGAAGGACCTGGAGCTCGCCGACCCGGAATTCAGCTTCTCGGACCCCGTCGACATCCTGTTGGGAGCCGACGTATATGGGACCATCATTCGCCAGGGCCTACACAAGGGAGGTCCTCAGGAGCCTGTAGCGCAACAAACCTCGTTGGGCTGGATCTTTTCGGGTACCGTTAACTCGACGGCGCCCGGCCAACGTGTTTCCACTCACCATTGCCAAATCGAGGAGGACATCACCTGCTTGGTGCGGCGGTTCTGGGAGCAGGAGGAAGTTCGTCGGCCATCTCCGATCCTCACCAAGGCCGAACTGGAGTGCGAAGAACACTACCGCCGACATCATACTCGCTCTCCAGACGACCGGTACATCGTGCGGCTGCCAACGATCGAGCCTATCCCTGACCTGTCGGGGACTCGACGCGCCGCAAGTCGTGCTCTGCATCATATAGAAAAAAGATTCGAGAAAGAGAGCGACTTCCAAAGCATGTATGTCGAGTTTATGCAAAATTACAAGGACCTTAACCATATGATGCCTGCGCCAGAACCAGCTGAATCGCATCGAGGTGCCTGCTACCTGCCGCATCATGGTGTGTTACGTCCAGACAGCACCTCCACAAAATTGAGGGTAGTTTTCAACGGTTCGAGCTCCTTGCCTAACGGAGACTCCCTCAACAAAAATCTCGCCACAGGACCGAATCTGCTTCCATCACTGGCCGACATTCTGCTGCGTTGGCGACGCCATCGCTTCGTCTTCGCGACCGATATCGAAAAAATGTATCGGCAGATCCTGGTACACCCAGACGACCGAAGTCTGCAACGAATCCTATGGAGAGATAATTATAAAACCGACGTTCAAGAGTATTGGTTGTGCACCGTTACATACGGGCTATCATGTGCTCCGTATCTGGCCATTCGCACCTTACGCCAACTCGCCGAGGATGAGGAGCATCGCTTTCCAAAAGGCGCCGATATCCTGCGGGGCGATGTCTACATGGACGACATCCTGTCCGGTGCCAAAAATCTAGAGGATGCAGAAACCATGATAAGACAGCTGACGAGTATATGCACGGCGGGCGGGTTCACGCTCAAAAAATGGTCCACCAACGCCTCCTACCTGCTGAGCCTCGTGGAACCGGACGCGCGCCTGCAACAAGAGGCCAGATGGTGGCTGCCCGGAGAGAGTCACTCCACTCTCGGACTTCGATGGCAACCGTGCAACGATCGCTTTGCCTTCGCCACTCATAAGATCACCCTCTCGGCTGTCACCAAAAGATCGGTCCTCTCCTTGACGGCGAAATTGTTTGATCCACTCGACTGGCTGTCTCCCACTACCGTGCTGGCCAAGATCAACATTCAAACTATCTGGCTGCTGGGCCTTGACTGGGACGCGTCTCTGCCAACCGAGGAAGCGAGGAAATGGCTGCGGTTCCAGGAAGAGCTGGATGCATTGGAAAACCTGGGTGTGCCTCGTTGGTTAGGCAGCGTAGCGGACTCCCATCAGGAAATTCACGGGTTTGCCGATGCCTCCGAACGTGCCTACGCCGCCGTCCTCTACCTGCGAACCAAAACAAACGGAAGTAGCAGAGTGACACTGTTGGCTGCGAAGACCAAGGTGGCTCCATTGAAGCAGGTATCCTCACCTCGTTTAGAGTTATCGGCCGCCAGTCTTCTCGCTCGACTGGTCGCCCACGTTGTCCCTCTTATTGGCGCAGAGAAGGCACCTCTACACCTGTGGTCGGATTCCACTGTGACTCTCGGTTGGATTCGGGGTCACCCCTCGTCCTGGGTCACCTACGTGGCTAACCGAGTGAGCGAGATCCAGACGCTAACTCCGGACGCCTACTGGCATCACGTCCCCGGCCGAGATAATCCCGCGGACTGCGCTTCCAGAGGACTCTACCCCAGCGAGTTGGAGGACAACTCACTCTGGTGGCAAGGTCCGTCGTGGCTATCAGCCGGGAGCCACCCTTGGACGACCAACAGCGAGGAGCTTCCAGAGGATGACCTTTCAGAGAGGCGAGTCCGCACCCACGTCGCCGCCATCGCCGAACTGAGGACCGAACCTGAGATGCTGCTCCGATACTCCTCGCTACAACGATTGCTCCGGATCACAGCGTGGTGCCGTCGCTGGTTGCGGATCCACCGTCAGCCCCACCACGAGCACGGCCAGCTCGGCTTGATCAGCGCCGACGAAATCGAGGAAGCCCGGATCTCTTGGTTAAAGACAGTCCAGGCAGCAGCATACAAAGATGAAATTAGTCATCTACAAAGGGAGCAACCCCTGCCGTCGCGAAGCTCCCTGCTAAAGCTCAGTCCATTTTTGGACAGCGAGGGGCTCCTACGCGTCGGCGGGCGCCTGGAACATGCTCAGCTGCCATTCGATGCCACGCATCTACCAATACTACCAAGCAAATCGAACTACACTTGCCTCATCATCGACGACCACCACAAGCGAACGCTGCACGGCGGTACCCAGCTGTCTTTGTGTTCTCTTCGCCAAGAGTATTGGATTCCTCGAGGTCGCTCGCTGGTGAAGAGCCGCATCAGCCGCTGCGTAAGGTGCACAAGGTGGCGGGCCGCCACTCCTCAGCCACTGATGGAAAATCTTCCCGCTCCAAGGGTCACGCCAGGCCGGTCGTTCCTTCATACCGGCGTAGACTACGCCGGACCGGTTTGGATGCGAACAACAAGGGACCGTGGACACAAGACGACCAAAGGGTTTATCGTTGTGTTTGTTTGTTTAGCCTCCAGGGCAGTTCACATCGACGCCGCCTCGGACTACACCGCCGACGCCTTCCTTGCCGCCTTGCGCCGGTTCATCGCCAGGAGAGGAGTGTGCCACTCGTTGTATAGCGACTGCGGCACCACCTTCGTGGGTGCCGACAAGCAGCTAAAGCAACTGTTCTCCACTGCCAGTGCGGACGAACGCCGCATAGCATCCTGTGCCGCCCAGAAAAAATCCGGTGGCGTTTTAACCCGCCGGCGGCACCTAACTTTGGCGGCTTGTGAGAAGCCGCCGTGAAGGCCATGAAGCATCATCTTTGGCGAGTCATAGGTGAAGCAACCCTCACCTATGAAGAGATGGCGACCCTACTCGCCCAGATTGAGGCCTGCCTCAATTCCCGACCGCTGCAGCCATTATCTGACGACCCGGAGGATTTAGCAGCTCTGACACCCGGTCACTTCCTGGTCGGCTCCGCTCTCGCGACGATCCCCGAGCCGTCGCTCGAACGAGAGCCGTCGGCGCGTCTCTCCCGGTGGCAGCTCCTGCAACAAATAAAGGACCATTTCTGGTCTCGGTGGGTCAACGAATATTTAAACACGCTGGCCCATCGACCGAAATGGTCCCGAATTAATCAGGAGGCTCGCGTCGGTCGACTCTGCCTAGTACGGAACGAGATCACTCCACCAACACGGTGGCTGCTTGCGCGCATAACGCGACTGCACTCCGGTTCCGACGGTAACGTTTGCGTAGTCGACGTCCGCACCGCGGGCACCAATTTAACGCGACCCGTGAATAAACTAGTATTTCTGACCGACGGCTCCGAAGCCTCACCGTAATTAAAGGGCACGCGTCGCATAATTTTTGTCTTGAAACTCTTCGTTGATCCATCTTCACATTCACTTGCACATCAATCATCACCTCATTCTACTCATTGCTCCTCTCTTCTTATCCCTACACCCCGCTCATCGCTCCACCGTTCTTATCACAATCACGACACATACACTATCACTATACGCCACATTTTCCTGAAGATCGAAATTATCACGGTCTGCGCAACGCTTTAGCCTACACGCTTCTAACCATTACACTCGAGAATAAACAGCTGATCGATTCAGCATTCCTTTGCCTAAATCCGGCGGAGCACGTGCGCTCCACGTGTGCTTCACGCGCGAACGCGTGAATAAGCTCGCGCCTCCACGCTCGAACTTCTAATTTGATTGCAGTATACTGCAAGGCGGGCGGAATGTTCGAAAATCGAACGTCAAAAAAGCTGAAAAGTCTTAAAACATTATTGCATTAAAATTCATGCAGTCTTTTCATTCACATGCAACATGCATCATGCTTAATTTTATATTAATATTATTTTCAAATAGCGCTCGGCCGCACAGGTATACGTATACCCCGCGCCTGCGAAAAGGAAGCGCTTACGTCAAATCTCATATAATGGTAAACATCGCGGTCGCGCGAGAGGAGATACAATTTAGTTATTGATAATAACAAAACGACTATTTTCCTGAAAGTAAATAATTACACTAAACGCTCTTTCGCCCTCAGCCGAACGATAAAATTAAGAGAATCTTTCTCGACTATTCTAGAAATACGGGCCTATATAAACCTCCTCTCTCGTGATCGCGGCGCTCTTTTCCGATTGCTTGTCGCGTCAAGAGTGTGTTTATACTTTACGAAAAAGATCGCTTGTCTTTTTCGTTTTTCACGCTTAATTACCGTTGCTTGCGGACACTCAGTAATTTATCTTCGACCCGGCTTTTCCCTCGCTTATTGCATTCATTCTAATACGTTCGACTCGGCTATTTTTTTGGTAAATTCTGTGCGGTTAAACAATTGTATTTTTTGTTAATAGTTGAAATATATTTTTGTTAACGATACGCGTGTGTCGAGTGCAGTACTTCTCTATCGTCTCGCTTCCGACCCGCTATCCGTTGTGCACAGGTATAAATTTAAAAAAATATCTTTCAAAGGTGAATCTTTCGAATCTAGATTAAATGAGTTATGTGATTTTATTAATAATTTGTCATCAGACACTGTTTATTGCCTACTTGTAATATGTGTGATGTTCTTAATAATGCAATGTTAAGTCGTATTGTTTCCAAAGAAATATTATTAATTGCTGAAGACACGATTAACTGTGTTCCATATTTAAAAAAAAACGCATTAAAAGTATTGTCAAATAACGATGATGATAATTCAAAAACAGCTGGACTTTCAAAACAAATTAAAATTAAAATTGGAGCAAAAGTTATGAGTCGACGTAATATCGATGCTAGTTTCGGTCTTGTAAACAGTACAATTGCTAAAGTAATTTCAATTGTACAAGATACATCTACTGATTACGTAGAAAAGGTTAAACTTTTTTCTGTTGGTAAGAGCAGTCGCTCGGAAAGTGAAAGACGCGGGTACAATTCCCGCTTCAGCGACTTTTCGGACCTATATTTTTCGCGCCTATTTCTTCATATGTAAGTTTCGAGATTAATTTATATATGGAACTTAGTGATCTCAAATCAAGAGATACAGTTCCGAATAATTAATTTTTTGTGCTTTGGCCCTGTTGGCCGATTTAAAAAAAACATCATATTTATATTCTTAATATTGAGAGCCAATAAAAATATTTCTTTCTGATTTTATTCACGCCTTGGCCTAATTACGGCGTTATTTACTAACATCTACTAAAAGGCAAATAAAAAATATAGGATCGAAAGGGTCTGAATAGCTAAGTTGGTAAGAGCAGTCGTCCGGAAAGTGAAAGACGCGGGTTCGATTCCCGCTTCAGCGACTTTTTGGACCTATATTTTTCGTGCCTATTTCTTCATATGTAAGTTTCGAGATTAATTTATATATGGAACTTAGTGATCTCAAACCAAAAGATACAGTTCCGAATAATTAATTTTTCATGCTTTGGCTCTGTTGGCCGATTTAAAAAAAACATTTATATTTTTTAAAGATGTTTATATAGAATTAATCTTATTTGTTTTAACTTTAAGATATACCTATTGCAATAACTAATTAAACAGTATGCTAATGAATTCCGTACATTTACGTTATAAATATTTGCACTTTTAAATTAAATAAATTATTTAGTAGTTTATGATACATTGTAGTAATTATTTTTTTATATAATTATATATTTGAATGTGGAATCAGATCTTTTATTCGGAAGTAACTATATTCTCGAATCTACTTTCTCTCAATACTGATCCATCATATTGGATCCGCAATTTTGAATTTTGCAATCCCGATGTTAAAACATTATTGATCTCAAAAACTATTTGATAAATGTTTAACCAGAACTTGGTTTAATTAAAAATTCATCCATGTCATCGATTTTAATTGTCTTCAAATCGATTGAATGACGCTATTTTCAATAGTTTTGATAAATTTTCAATACTTTCCTCAGGTCTCTAGGAAAAAAGACCATCATTTTTACATCTTATGTGGTTCATAGATACCCATGGAACTCGAATTTTAGGTTCCATCGATAATCGAGAAATCGACCTTTTTTAACATCCTCCTTTAACAGTCATTGCTCCTTTATAATGGGAGTAAAATTTTACACATTTTAAACATTTTGGCTGTTGTATTTTTATTTCAGTGCAATCTATCACTGATGTAGTTGAATGAAATTTATTAAAGCTCTTTGGCATGTTTCGCATAATTTCTTCTTTTAAAACTCTTAAAACAACTGATTTGAGAATAGAAGCTAATTTTGGCACTGTAAGTACGAACCAATCAACATGGCCGTTTTAGAGTCCGCCGTAGTATTGTTTACATATACGTGATGTGATTTATTATTCAATACAAATACTAAAATAAACTGTATTTATGCACTAAAGTACAAGGTGCAACGTATTTGTGCCTATAAAGAAAATTGTCTTAGTAAAAATGGAATTTTCACTTCAGCATCGCAAAAAAGTACTGGTGGAGGAAAGTGTTGTGTTAAAACTTGTAATAGTAAAAAATGTAAAAATCTGGAGTAAAGTTTTCCAAAAGCTGAAAGTGCTAAAATTGCAAGAAAAAATTTATTTCAAAAAATTAAAATGATGGATAAAAGATCTGACTGGTTAAGACCATTTGAAGGTTAAGGATTATAATGAAGTTTATTGTTTATTGGTGTGCTCATTACATTTTGCAGCAAAGAATTATTTCTTTCCCGGTATGTGTATATATTATTTTTATTTACTAATACAATAGAATAAATTACTTATTAACTATTATGTGATAGATGTACATACTAAGAGAAGAGTATTAAAAGCAAATGCAGTTCCAAAATCAGTAAGCTTTTCAAAAAAGAGCAAAATTTTAGAAAAAAAAGAGAGCTGTAAGTATATTTATTTTGCACTAGTGTATGTTTTTAGTATGTAAAATATTTTAATTTGTATTTTAATTTAGGAAAGAAGATCACTTAAATCAGTATCAAAGGTTGACACGACACAGAAAGATTTTTGTCAAGAGAATGTCATTTGTGAAGCAAATTTTACAAATAATACGCATAAACCTTCACCTTCAAATGTAAATATTTATACACAAGGAAAGTCAGAAAAAAGATATGGATCAGCCTGTACTTTACGTGGAATGGAATCAGTAAACTATGACGTATACTATGAAGAACATGTTTGCTGCGATGCGATATTCATGTACCAAGTATTGACAACTTAGAAGAAGATAAAAAAGTAAAAATTAATATGAAAAACAAGAAAATTGCAGAAATTAAGACTTACTGTGAAAAAAGTGTACAAGTAACTAGCGGTGATGTTATTATTTTTCTTTGCTTCATCCATAAAAACTGAGAGATTTAAATTGCTGTATGTAATATTCAGTCATTCAGTATTTTAGATAAATCAAAGCTGGGAGCACAGGCTTTTACATAATGCATAAACATAAACCATAGCGCATAACGGAACGCGCAGCAACGCACAATGCAATACATACAGCGGGGAGCACACACTTTTGCATAAGCGCATAAGCGTAAGCATAAGAATCTTGATTGGTCTATAAACGTATGCACAAGAAATTCAACCAATCGAATTTCTTATGCACATGCTTATGCGCTTATGCAAGAGTGTGTGCTCCCCGCTTAAGACCGTATGCGTAAGTTTTATAATATCCTATACCAAACGACGCAACTATAGTAAGCAAGTGTAAGAATAATTTTATTATTGTAATTAATAATTATTAGTATTACGGTTACTTTAGTATTGATAATTATTAATTATTACTGTTTTTTATAGTATTTGATGCTTGTAGTTTTCTTTCTGGCGGATGACAGATAATCTAACCTCTCA